CGTAAAAACGCATTAGTAAATAATGCGCCTAATACTTACAAAACCTGTCTATAACATATTTTTAATTTTACAGTTGGAGAATGACGTCGAAAATTAGATAAAGTTAAAAATGTGTAGCACAATCTTCACATTGGCAGGACTGAACCAAGCTTTGCGTTTCATTTAAAATAACTGTAACACGATAACCTTCTTTACGTACTTTATGCTCCGGAGAACTCGACCTTTTACTGTACATAATTTTCCATATCTTTTAAATTGGACATAGCCGATTGCATTATCGCCGTAAGATTTGTAGAAGCCGCTGAATAAAATACAAAGTTTAACAACTACGATTTTTGCATACCGTAGTAATTTAGTCCCTTTCATTTCTACACTTAAAAACTCTGCACTTTGGACAAAAAAAAGTTATAACCATGTCAACGCTAACTCTTGGTAAATTCCTGGAGTCTGCTTTGATAAACGCAACTTCCATTTTTATTAAATGTAAAAAAATGCAATAAATATTCCCTTAAAATAATATTTACTTTAACAACCATAACCTCAAAGAAGTTGTCATAACAGGAGTGACGTCACTAAACGCTGATTGGTGTTTTAAAATACGTTCCGTTTCAAGTATTTTTAATTCGTAATAATTGTTAAAAAACAACATTATGTAAAATAAAAACGTTGCAGTAGCATTTCTTTTATATTTTTTTAACATTTTAATCATAAAATTTTCATAAATATTATATATGCATCTTCCCTAATCATGAGGTACCCCACCGTTCAAGTTTTTTTACTTTCCCGATTTGCTACAAGTGGATTAATACAGTTTTGTTACTTACCCCGAAGCCTGCAGCTATCTCTGAAGTGCTTTGTGATAAATCCGCTTCCACAAAATCCTTTAATTCTTCATTTTCCACTTTGGTCTCCGGCCGTCCACGGGGCTGGTTCTGAAGATCGAAATTTCCAAAACGAAAACGTTGAAACCAAAAATGTACCGTGCTTTCTTTTGCGATACAAGCGCCGTACACATTATTAATCCTTCGAGCTATTTCTGCAGCATTGGTGCCTCGGTAGAACTAGTACTTGTAAATATACCGATATTTCATGTTTTCCATTGGGCGGTAATAAGCAACGCCAAAGAAAAAAATAATGAGGAGAAAACCTTAAATGAATTTATAAATTTGAATTTGGAATTCCTAACCAAAGAGGAGATATTTCAGATCAAAATGGTCAGTACGACAAAACGCTAATTTCATATGTAAGGACCTAATATTTCAACAACCATGAATTAAGCACCAAAAATGAATTTATCGTAAGCTGATGATAGTAAGCAATAATAGGAAAAAATGTTGCCTTCCTTTTATTGCATCAAAAAGTAGCAGTGTAGCTGATTATTTAATGAAATTAGGGCTAAGACGCAACATACACCTCAGACGTAACATAACCAACACCTAAGAGTAGATTGGTCTAACGATTCACAGTGTGACTGGTTGGGTATAATTTCGAAAAGGTCGCCCAACGTGTCACAGTGTGACTTGTTGGAAATTATTTTAAGATAGGTCTCCGAACATGTCACATGTGTGACTGGTTGGGAACAAAGGCAAAAACGCTGTCGGCCGTTTTAGTCTATAGATTACCTATGCTATGACGTCAACAAAATCGTAAACTCGTAACTCAGATCACGTAAGAATTATCCAGAATCTAAATTTATATTATAAAACCATGATTTCTAATAGATTTCATGATAAATATAATAATTATCATGATTGTATTATACGAGAATGTAGAAACACATCGTTAAAGACTCTTGAAAAGTTGTGGTTTAAATTGCCTAGAGAAATACACATACAGTACCAGGCCATTTATAAGTCGCATCGTGCTTTAGAGAGAGATACTCGGCTAGATTCAGCTTTTGTGGAGCGTCATCTCTGTCACACGAAACACTAACAGTCCGGTATCTGTTAAGAGCTGCTAAAACTTTTTTTAAGTTTTTTTTTAGAAATCAATGCAAAAAGAAAACATGTAGGTAAAAGACAAGATATATGTACTAGGTATGTTAATTTATTTATTTTAATGAAAAACTATAATTTTTATTTCCAACCAAATAACAAAATACAAAAAACTAATAGATATGCGAAGCCTCTCATAAAATATTTACTGCCATTAATTTACTTACAAACTTAATTTTTTCTTTCTTTCACGAAATGTTTATATTTATATTTGTTTTAGCAACTCTGTATATACCTAGTCAGCTCATAAATTCTGTCACATGTTTAATATAAAATAATTGAAACAAGTTTATTCATTATGTAATAAATGGTACCAAAATGAACTTAACCAAACAGATTCTTATGACAATAAAGTTTATTCAAAATGACCTCCGTCATTTTGAATACAGGCCTTCAATCTGCGCGGCCAGTCGTCTATCGCAGCACGAACGAGGTCCATGTCAATATCGGCGGCTGCCTTAATCAAGGATGTCTTGAGTGACTCCAAATTGGGATGAGGCTTTGAGCACGCCTTTTCCTCCAAGTGTTGCCATATCTTGTAATCTAACGGACACAAATCTGGACTGGAGGAGGGCCAGTCTTCGTGCCGGATGAAGTCGATTTCACGCGCCGCCAGCCAGTCTTGTGTGCTCTTCGCTCTATGAGCTGGCGCTGAAACTTGCTGGAATACCCAGTGCCTGTTATTGAACATGGTATGAGAAACAGGTTCCACAAGGTTCGTCAGGACTGTATTTCGATACACAACTGCATTCGTTTTTACACCTTTCTCACAAAAATGTAGGTACCTCTGTTAAGCCCCAATAAGAAACTCCCAACCATACCATGAGCGAGGAAGGAAAATGAGCTCGTTGGACACGCGGAATACGGTTGCTCGCTTCTTCACTACTGTGTACGTACACCTTATCATTTTGTTTGTTGTAGCTCTCTTCTACGGTAAAAATTTTTTCATCCGAAAAAAGAATTTCCCGATATTTTTTCCCGCGTACCGCTTCAACAAAGCGCGGCATCTCTTCAGTCTCAGATCCATTAGACGAGCATTCAAACGATGTCCTGTTTTTCTTCGATATGCCCGAAGCCCTAAGTCTTCATTTCACACCCTTTTCACCGTGGTTCTGCTTAACCCCATCTGAAGGGCCAACAGTTTCTGCTTACGTTTGGGATTTCTTTGAATTCGCGCCTTCACAGCTTTTATCACTGCTGGAGTCTTAACAGACCGAGGGCGACCACTTCTTGACCTGTCATCTACTCTAGAGTCTTCATTTGATGGTACGATAAACGAATCTTTTGGTTATATTCAAAATTTTCAGTATGTCAAAAATTTTAATGTGCGCGTAACCGCAACGATGCAACGCAAGAACTGCAACATGGTCTTCTTTAAACGTCCACTCCATATTTAAAAATGAGTAAAATTCTAAAAAGTATACATTTTTATTTTCATGAACAATTCGAAATTCGAAATCAATAAACTTTTTTGTAGCCAGCATTCTATAAGAAAAGTTTTTACTGTGTGACAATACTTATGTCCTGACTGTGTATATATTTTAAGAACCCGACTGTTCTTTAGCGACGTTGAACTACGACCGACAAGTCAGCGACTAAGGGCGCTTTCAATTTATGCGTTTCTTGCGGTGCGGCAACAGTCCTGTTGTCGAGCGTTCGCGGTACCGGCGCCGCACGGTTGCCGCACCGTGCGTTTTGTGTGAAAAAAAGGATCGTCCGTACGCTGTACGACGCACCGCTTCGCGCACCGCTTCGGCACCGCAGCAGGCCGTCAAGAAACGCATAAATTGAAAGCGCTCCAAAGGTCAGGTTGACAAGGGTAACAGAGACGGCGCTATACGAAGCCGAAGCTAGCCGAGTATCTCTTTCTAAAGCTCGATGCGACTTATAAATGTAAGTACTAAGTCAAAGAGTTTTGTCGTTTCTGCTTTCACAAATCCGGTGTCCAGCATTCATTTAGTCAACAAAACCAATAAATGGAAATTTTTTATACAAGATGTAAGAGTTTTTAGATATATGTATTTTAGTCCGACGAAAGACACCACAGTAACACGACAATGACGTTTAGTTGTTTACTAACACATTTACTAATTTGTTGACGTCACAATCATGGTGGATAGCGTTTTGAGTGTTTAAAAAGCATAGACTAAAAAACATTATTCAAATTAAATGACTACAGCCATCTTCAAATTTTATGAAGTGAAATCGATGTATTTTCCTCATACCAAACATTATAAGAAATAAACACTTGTATAGTGCAATTTGACATGAGTCAACTAGCCTATTTGAGTGGAGTTATTCTCCCTTATCCCTCCATCACATTTTCTTCAGAGGACCACGCGCGCTGGCCTACGTTGCCACCGACTTACTGTGGCCACTATTCCTACACGTACAAAGAAATTTGGCGACTCATTTCTTTGTCGTACTTCCTACAATCTGGGGTCCTTTAAGAGGCGTGAAGAAGCATTTTTGCAGGCCGGCCGGTGAGGATGGTTGGTGAAGCAGTTTATAACTGCTATACCAGCTATCTAATCAAACACTCCTAAACTAGTTATAAGGAGAGTCGTAAGGCTGACTAGACTTCACATACATGTTGTCTCTAGGGCGCTGTTCGATAGCTTAGTGTCTTCTTTATGTGGATTTTCCAATAAAAATCGGATATTCAGATTGTAAAATATTAGTCAAAGTAAATTAGAGATCTTATGAAATTATGAACGTACGTTGTCTTTTGAATTCGAATCGCAAGAGAAAGTGAAACTATATAAAACTAATTAGTGAATGTAGTAATGAATGGGTATGGAATGAATGTATGAACGGACGATAATGATGGAACGATTGTAGATTCTCTCGTCGAAGGATAGATGGCGTTAACAGGCGCTATATCATTTTGGGAAATCTCGTAAGGTTTCGTTAGTTCATTAATTATATTCCATAATAAATTGATTTAATTTATAGGGCTCTAAAATGTAAAAAAGCAAGGAAATTAAAATAAAATCGTTTTATAACATTGAAAAGTGTTTAATTATTATCGGTTATTAACACGATTACTTACTTGAATTTATTGTCACCTCTTTCATGTTTTCCTATGGTTCTGACATTCAGTACCCTTAGCACGAACCAATATCGAATTCGTTACGTTTGCGAGTCCGAAATGTCATTGTCATGAGATTTTTAGTTCTCGTTACGTACTTTGTGCCGCTGCTGTTCAAGTTTCCATACTAAATTTGACACTGACATTTCGATTTGCAAACTATTCGGATTCGATAATGGTTCGTGCTAGGGGTACAGTAGGCCGCTCAATACATCCACGTTACGATAACATGAAAACCTTTTCTAATTTCGTGGCATTTAAATTTTAACATTTTGTGTAGTGATGACAAAAAATCAAAAGGTACATATCTGAATAATTTCGTATATATATCACTCCGGCGTGTACACCGCAACTGTGCCATATTTATTAGGCATTAGTTGTATAGAATGCAGGTAAATTAAAATACATAAATGAGACACTAAATTCATTGAATCGATAATGTATCGAATTTAGAATATAATTTTATATACAGATACATGATAAAATCTGAAAAAAAGTGTACCAAACAGTTTTTCAACTATCCATAAGTTAACAACAGCGCTGTCGCGTTTCTGCATCTCTTTAAATGTGCTTAGTAGGGCCACTTTTAAGGAATATCTACAATACAAATTGATTTCAACCTTGAACAAGTTTATTTACATATTTAAAATTGATACATATTTACAATTTCTTGGTTATCATCTGAAAAAAAAGAAAGAAAATATATTAATAATGGGATCACACAGTTACAACTATGAATTAAATAATTGAAATACCAAAATTATCTAAACTAGAAACAACATAAGCTTTTTAGGCCTAAAATACCAATGAAAATATCCGTTTTATCATAAACAGTGTCAGATATAATTCGTTTCTTGTTATATTGACTATATAATGTTATTTTGTTACATTTTCATTTAAACGTTTGTTTTTAATGCTTAATATAGGCAAGGCGTTTGACCACAATCTCGCCTGATGGAAAGCGATGATGAGGCCTTGGATGGTACACGCCTGCCTAGATGATGCCTGTTCATTCTGGCCTTGAATATGCCCAGATTACTTGCTAGATTCTTTTCTTTTCTTAAAAATCGAGCTTTTTAAAAGAGAATTTCTTCAACCTTTTTCACATACAGACAAATAAAATTTTCTCTAATAATAAAAATAATACTCACCGTTATTGGTACGTCTTTTACAGTTCTTAGTATTTCTTATATCTTCATTTCTTCGTCTAGACTTTCTTTTATACTGGACTGTGAAAAAAAAACAAAAATAAGAATATAATGTGTATAAAATAGTAGATAATATGTTAGTTGACCATTTTTAGAAAACCATAAAACGTCATGTATAGACGCTAGGAATAGTGAGTAAATATTTATTTAAAGTTTAAGAAAATCCAGGTCCAGGTAGTATGCGGGACTTGAACCCGAACCCTCCGCCATCCGGGCGGATGCACTGACTAATTATCATACCGCGACCTTAATGACCGTGTCGATTTTTTTCCTAACATTTATTTAGCTGCAAGGCAATGCTATCTATTGGCATTGTAGGTAACCCATAATGTCAAACGAAATACCTCCCTTTACAAGTGAAAAACATTCGAAAGAAGAAATAGCGATTGAAGTTTATTAATTGCTGCTAGATGTTTAAAACTAAAGGAAATTTTACAAGAAAAAAATCCACGCAGACCAGGCAGCAGACGGGACTCGAACCCGCACCCTCCGCTATCCGGGCGGATGCACTGACCAGTAGGGAATATTCATGATTATTTTTTTATATTTTTAGTTCATAGTTTACATTCCCTCAATATTGTATAAAAAAAATTTTCGACGTCGTTAAAACTTTGTAGTGTATAAAAAATGATAAAAATAGCCACTTTGCACGGATAATTTAAACGCTCGCTATTTTGGAATTCTTGGTGTCACATCACAGTCCATAGAAACCTAACAACAAAACAAACAAGTCCACAGTTAGATTATTATAGGAGATTTTCTTTCCGAGGTTCGGTTCACGAGCTTCACGCACTATTTATTTATTTATTTTCACCAAAAATACAGGAATACAAAAACAACTTATTTCGCCAAACTGAAAAGTCAGTTTGTTGGCGAATAATACACTCTTTACATTTTTTCTTTCTTTCTATCTATATATATATACCCGCCACCACCATACAAATACAATACAAAATTGACATTATTGCACTAGGTATCGTTGACTTTGGCATAACTTGTGAACATGGGACTTGTTTATTGATTTGTTGTTATGTATTTCTATGTCACTAATGCTGTGTCGCGTTTCTGATATTTGAAAATGAAAATATCTTTATTTTTTACAAGTTCCATATAAACATGTTGTTGAGTATTCTACTTGTAGTCCAGTCAATTAGACATTTAAACAGTTTGAAAATTGTTTTTCTGTCTAATTCGACCGGACTATTGTGTTAGGGGGATACTCGCTTTTTCGTGATTTTTTACAAAGAACTTTAACAATATATGTACAATTTTTTCCCAACAGTTGCTATTTTTTGTTATTACTTTTAGAATTCCAAATGAAAAATAGATAAATTTCAACCGATCCAGGCATCAGACAGGACCCGAACCTATATATTATTTCAATTTCCCAAAAGTAAATAAATTTCAGGCAAAAGACGGGCTCGAACCAGTAGTCTTGTTGATGCACTTGCTTCTTGTGATCTTTGAGCGCGAACGTGATCTTGAAGCACCCTTATATTACCTAATGTATTATCCCTAGGATTATGTTACATACCTGCGCCTGCGCCTGGTCCCGGGCCGCGTTTAAAGCAGAAGTATCCACGTCTTGTTGATGCACTTGCTTCATGTGATCTTTGAGCGCGAACGCTCGGGCGTAGCTGGCACCGCACTGAGCGCAGGAGAACTTGAGATTGTTCTGGCGCGCGTGAGTTTCCGTGTGAACTCGCACCGCGTACAATGATGCAAACGGCCTATTTTGAATATTGAGCCAAAAATAGCTTGATGTTAGAGAACCTTCATTGTGATAGGATCATACTCTTTAAAGAATAATGCGGAGATTCTATATAGAAAACTGCCTCAAAAGAGTTTTTAGCTGGAGAATGATTTCTGAATTTCTTTCGCTAAAGCGTTTATTTTTCAAAGCTAAGGAAAAGGGTCGATATGTCATAATTAATCTCTTGCGCAAATACCAAATGAAAGAGTATGCGAAAGGAGAAAGTTACACAATACGGCAGCTGGTTAAGCAACAAATAAACGAGTGGCTTTGGCAGCCGATTACCATGAAGTGGTCAATGCTTAACGAATGGGGTATTCGCATTCGAAAGGAATTAGGAGGTATAACTACGTTACAATGTTCGTGCATGTAAAGTACGGCCAACGAGAAGCGATACAAAATGTTAACATGATGAAAGGTCATTCAATCAATCATTTATCATTAGCCAATGCAAAGTTTGGCATCATCTTTGTAAAATTAAGATAGGACTATTGTTGTTTTAATACGCATATATTTAAATAAAATGTAAAAAATGTGTCAGCTCCGATGCACGACTGGAGTTTACTCCTAAGTTCGATAGTCTAACCAGACGTAAAAAGATTTTATTTAACTTAAAAAAGATTGATACTGTATGAAAGGGTAAATTAACAAATTAATGAAAATAATATACATATATAAATATACATTTATTCATTTCATATACATTTATTATAACTAATCGACGAAATATTTTACATTAAACTTTTTACAATAGTCAATTTCAGATATGCATAAATATATCATTAGGAATGTTGATAAATTATGTAATTATTATTATCAGACTATTATCATTTTTTTAAATATTAATTAAATCAACATTTTCTGCATTATTAATTACAGTGACAAGTGGTTTATGGTAACTAAAATAAGACACATGGACGTTCGTAGATACGTGGTTCACGAATCTTGAAAATACCACATCAATGGTTGTACCATACCTCGTTGTCCCCATTGCTCTATCAGAAACAATATCTAAATTCAGTTCAGATTTTAAAAAAATTATTAATGTCAATCCGTCATCTTTGTTTGTCAAAGTTGCGCGACATAGGATGCGCACCAAAAACGTAACGAGGGCATTCATCGATAGATTTTACTCCTCACATTTTTCTCATACCGGGCTCCTTATATATGCAAATGGATTCTTAAGGAGTAAATCCCAAAAACTGTGTAGATATTATTTTAAATCACTAAAATTACTGAAATCTATTCTGAAAATATATACAACAATAAAACATTTTTTTAGTTTTAAAACACATTTTTTTACTACAAAATGGCCGTCTTTTCGCCAATAAAATGTTGGCGAACTAAAAATTCGGCGATCACGTGACATGACCGAACGAGATCTTATGTCATTCATATGTATGGGTTAAACGAGATAGTTATTATTATTCCCATAGTCTCATCTAAGGTAAATGAACTTTTGTATTGCTTCTCGTTATACTAATATTGCAAACGTGAAAGTTTTTCAATCACGCAAAAACGGTTGAGCGGATTTTGATGTAATATTACACAAATATAGTTTATTACCCGGATTGAGACATAGAATACATTTTATCCCGAAAAAATATTAGGTTCCTGAGGGATTTTCAAAATACAAAAGTGAACGCGGACGAAGTCACGGGCGGCCACTAATAAAAACACAACATTCAGCATTACTTAAGTCCAATTTGTTGTTAGAGGGTCGTACATAAAAGTTCAAACTATGCTCAAAAATTATATCTGTTTCGTTATTACACATTTTAAAAATATCTTACCTATTGCAGTGTGTGCAGGAAAACGGTTTAGTGTGAGAGTTTTTGTGTCCGGCTAGCTGTACTGACGTCTTGAAAGCTTTCGGACAATACGGGCATTTGTAACGCCTCACTGAAGAGTGTGTGAGCAAGTGATGATTGTACACGCTGTGTGCTTTAAACCTATGGAAAAAAGAAACAGTTTGAATAATGAAACTTGGTTTTTCGGGAATACTTAATTACTTATTGGTAGCGTCTGCTTACTCTAGAAGCAAAATGGACCTTGGTCCGAGGTGGCAGACTACGAGGGATTGCTATAAGAGTTACGAGAGATTTAATTTACTAATTTTAGAGAGGGAGGGGGTACAAATTTTAAATTTTAAATGGCCCGTTAGATTATAAAATACACCCCTGTGTTTCTGTAAATTATATAATTATGCCCGCGTAGTGCGTCACGGCACAGTCTCACTGTTTCATTCATAGGGAAGACCTGTACCGCGGAAGTGGGGAAATTAATAAGCTGATGATGATAACGCTTTACCATGCGCATATGAAGCATGGAGCAGTACCCCTAGCACGAGCCATTATCGAATTCGAATAGTTTGAAAACCGAAATGTCAATGACAAATTTTGTATGGAAACTTGAACAGCAGCGGCACAAAGTACGTAACGAGAACTAAAAATCAGTACACATTTGACAATGACATTTCGGACTCGCAGACGATACGAATTCGATATTGGTTCATACTAGGGGTACTGTACCGACGCGGAACGAATCTCCAAACGTGTGGCACTGGGGCGGCATTTACCTATCCTCCTAACCCATAGAGGTTGTAACGGTGTCGTTACAATCTTCTAGAAAATACTAAAATAAAAATTTTGATTATTTTATTAAAAATAATAAAATATAAACCTAAATAAACAACTACTGCTAAAAACTAGCAAAAAAAAAAATAAAATCAAGGCCGCGGTAGCATAATGGTCAGTGCATTGGCCCGGATAGCGAAGGGTGCGGGTTCGAGTCCCGTCTGCTGCCTGGTCCGAGTGGATTTTTTTCTAGAATACTTTTCTTTAGATTTAATATATAATCAAAATAAAAGGTACTGGAGACAAGTGTACACATTACCGTTTGCCGCACAGCGGGCATGCGTAGGGTCGCGCGCCGGTGTGAGTCCGCATGTGCAGCGTGAGGCAGTACGCCACGCGGAAAGATTTGCCGCAGATCTCGCATGAATGGGGTTTCTCGCCTAAAAATGGGATACAAAATTTGTATGAGAACTTGAGAAGTACCTAAATATATAAATGAATATTTCTTACACTCAAATCAATCGACCTAGCCCCAAAGTAAACACTGTAAGACTTGGGCAACATATGACATAGATAAGTATAAGTACATTTTTTGTAGATACCTTATAAACTATTAAAATTTCATTTCCTTTTTTTTAATGTCAAAATTTAGCAACAATTGTGGTGTGTAATAAAATAATTACCAATATTAATGTGTAATTTGTACTCTGTCGCTGTACCATAAATAAATATACAACCATGAATTGGTAAAAATTCTCGTATTTATCATACAAACATTTGTCCCTACTAAGATTCGAGCCGGGGGACCTCTGAGAAGCCTTACCAGCTCAAAACCTGTGTACGATTATAAATAACACTTCACCACGCAAATCATGATAATAAATATAATGTCTTCTATTGGCAGACGCGATATTTAGAATAGGTTAATTAGAAGACGGTGTTGACCACTGAATCTCGAAAACTACTTAACTGTTAAGTTTTTTAATGAATTCAGCGTATTATTCTTCACATAAATGCATGATAATACTTGAGGTACAACATTGGACAGAGTTGTATGAAGAATAGAATGGATCCTTTGCCACGTATGATATATTAACTATTACCACAAACAACGGTATGATCTTTCAGTTTTGAAATAAAATATGATGCAGTGTGTATTCTTACCGGTATGTATTCTTTCATGTTTAACTTTTTCGTGTGGCCTCGCAAACCTCCGATCGCAATACAAGCAGCTGTATGGTAGAGATTTATCGGATTTATTAACAGGAACCTGTAACCAAATATCTATGAAATATATTACGAACAAAACCGCATGTTTTCTTCCGACCATAACCCAAACTTTTTGAGCGTTAAACGGCCAGTTTCAATAAGCAACCACCAGTAAAAGGTAAGGATAATCTGGTTTCGGTTCGGTAATTAAAACTGGCCATTAACCTATAGGTTACTGGTTCATATCCGGTTCGAAGGACCACTAATATATGTATAAGTTAGTGAATGCCCAAACATACATATAGGTGGTTTTGTTAGGTTGTATACACAATCGGGAGGAGATCGAACGGGTCCGCACCCTGGCGCAGAGGGAGGCTCTGCGCCGATGGGGCGAGGCACTCGCCAACCCAGCCGCTGGCCACCGGACGATCGAGGCGATCCGTCCGGTGTTGGAGGAGTGGGTAGGGCGCCAGCGGGGCAGCCTCACCTACCGCCTGGTGCAGGTACTGACCGGACACGGGTGTTTCGGCCACTACCTGCACCGTGTCGCCCGTCGGGAGGAGTTGCCGCGGTGTCATCACTGCGCCTCCCCCGACGACACGGCCGAGCACACGCTGATCGTGTGCCCGGCCTGGCGAAACGAGCGCCGCACGTTGATGGCGGCGCTCGGCGGAGGATCGCTCTCATTGCCAAGTATGGTTCGAGCCATGCTTGGCAATGAGAGGGCATGGAAGGCTGCGGCCTCCTTCTGCGAAGTTGTGATGGTGCAGAAGGAGGCAGCGGAGAGGGAGCGGGAGGAGGATGCTCTAGCCGCTCCCCTCCGACGTAGACGGGTGGGCCGAAGAAGGCTGGCAGCTGTGACTCGGTCTTCGTCGGCCCTAAGGTGGTCTGGGCGCGGCTTGGCCGCCGCGTGCCCTTGGTGCCATTCGGCATAGGCCACCCCGTCTGGGGATTGCCTAGTACCCTAGCGCAATCCCCCAGAGGCGTGTCGCCCGGTCCACTCGTTGGGCCGGGCCAGCCCGGGGGCGTCCCAGTGAAGTGGCGCACACTAAGGTGCGCTGATCCTGAGACGCCCCCATATGGGCGTAGGAGGGTACCGGTGGTTTTTAGTGGGTAGGACCGGCGTTGTTCCGCGCCGGGGAGTCCCACACACGCCGCGCGCCCAGCCAGCGCGCGGTACGGTGCGTAAAAGCATTTTCCATCGTCAACAAAAAAAAAAAAAAAAGGTTGTATACACATTGTTTTTAACTTTCGTGGTCACTAAGGGACTGCGCTGCCTTACATTATAGATATTATCGGGATTACTACTATGTACCTTGTTTTTTGTGAGTATTTACTCTGTGATCATGCGAAATATCGCAGACTCACAAAAAACAAAGCACATGGTAGCAATCCCCCTAATAACTATAATATATACATAACGTTGTATAATTAGTAGAAAGTTAAATACCTATTTAATTTGGTTGCGTTTAAACCATAGGTCTCTGGTTCACATCCAGCTCGCAGGACCACTAATATATGAATTAGCAAAAGTTCGTGCAGGTATGTAGGTAAATTATGCCTCTACAATTTGTAAAAAATATATATATTAAATATTCAAATATGAACGCGGCCATAGAATCTAGACAAAATAAGTTTATGTCATACGCATAGAACAACACGGCCGACGCAGCCAGGAGGTTGGGCAAGCTCACGTAACAAAACTAGTTGCGCTCGGATATTTCATTAGACTAAGGCCCGTATTACAGAATGACAACTAAGTGTTGAGCTTTACTTGAGAAGCGTTAGAAAGGGATGCTGCTATGTGCTATTTATAGCGACATCTCTTTCTGACTATGCTCAAGACTAGATTAATTACTGAGAATCTTTCTATAATACGGGCCTTAGTCACGCGAGTGTATGTTAGATATAAAAATGCCAAAATGTTCAAACTTACAAAAGGATGGTGTTAAATTTAACAGAAGGTAAGTAGAATTATTAACATAATTATTATTTCCATTTGACCAACACTTTTAAATACAAAATTCATATTTTGTTACAATTCAATCGTCGGATTTGTTTGACAAAACAAAAATTTAGTCAGAACATATTTTGGATACGTCAATCAAAAAATCTGGCAAAAGTGGTGGCATGTCGATAAATTTTCTAACGACCAAAAACATTATGCATGGACGTACATTTTTTTTAAACATTTATTCACTATATTTTTTATCATATGATTTCAATATTTGGGAGGCATATTCTTAGTTTATTACGGTGTGATAAGTGATTTAAATAAGAAATAAGAAAGGTAGATATAGAAGAGAGTCATTTTTATCCCTTTTAATGAGATGACCATAGCTTTTAATTGTAGGAAATCAAATATTAAAGCTAAAAATTTGCTTGTCCATCAAAAATATCTTGTTACTTTTTTATTACTTTGCGCCTATAACTACCACTTTTTTATTTCATGCCTATTTTGTATAGGTTTACATAATAGCCATACGAAAATTATTATAAACTATAACCGTTAGATTTGATATTGGGCGATTGAATGAATGTCAAATTTTGAAAAATCCTGAAACAGGCGTATATAGTTTAAGGATTAACTTCGCAATCTTGGTGCGCCATACAAACTTTGAACCTCCGTTTTACCCATTTAAGAGGTGAGTTTTGGAAAATCCTTTCTTAACGCACGCCTTCATCATAAAAGCTATCTATGTCTAGTTATTGGTGCCATAAGGTGTCCCAAATAACCATAGGATTCTGCTGCAGGCATGAGCTATATAGCTACATATAATTTAGCTGTTATCGAATTTGTGCCTTATCCTGACTCCATTATCTCAACACTGAACGTTGGAGCCTTAAGGAAAGCTGTATTTTTGCATTAGTGTGTTACTTAGGACAGGTAGAAAAAAAAGATATCGTTGTTCTTCTCAGTACAAAGTTTCAAGGATTTACGTACTTTTTTCAACTTTCATACGTGCATTTATTGTAATAACTTAAACTGAATAAACGGTACTGAATTTTAAAGTATTTAAAACTATTTACAGCACTTTACCAAATTTTGATACAAAACAAGGTGTTATGGCAGTTTTATTAATGTTTGAATCTTTATTCAGCCATACTAAATATTTAAGTTTTTTTACTTACGACATTGTCATTACTGTTGTCAAATTTAATACGAATGTTTCAGTTCCTAATATTTTTACTAATATTCCATCCACCTGATTGTGGTAATAGCGATTTCCAAAGATCATCGATATTGCGGTGTCGATAAATTGGTGTCAAGCCTGACGTAAAGAACGTGTCAAAATGTGTCGTGACTTACACAAAAAAATAAATATGTATGCAGGATTTGGTTGTGTATTATGTAATTTTTGATGTGTGTGTCGTAATTACAATTTCTTTTTTTGCGAATAATTATGTTAGGCTGCATTTGTGTGCATATTCATCCCCCCGCAAAAAGTGGCAGTATTATTTCAGTAGTTATGTCACAATGCTACTCCCCTCGTGACCGCGTCGACCATGTTGCTCTATAGTCATACGTCTATTAAATATATTTATTTTTCAAAAAACAGAGTAACTAAGACAAATCTTCTCTTTAGGAGTAGACAACTTTAGACCACAAACAACATACCTTATCCAGATTGTGAACGGTCATGTGCATCTCCAGATACTCGTTTGAATGGAACTTCTTATTGCAAATGCCGCAGTTCATTCGGTCGTCAGTCTTGTGCGAGTTCTGGTGTATACTGCGATAGTCTATGGGTATCATCTTTTGGCATACGTTGCAATGGTACCGGACACAATCGCCTTCTGTGCCTTCGGAAGTCTCTACTGGTGGGTCTATAGGCCGGGTTCTGGAATGTCCAGTCGCATTAATAAGTGTGTTTATGAAAATTCATGGTATCAGTAATTGGTGGCATGAGGTATTTTCTAAGAAGTTTTTGGCGCAAATTAATCAAGCGAGCATTTAAATTGAATTATTATAAAGACAATGACGGAATATGCGATTTGACGGATGAGTAAACATTTCGGCCAGTGATGCCATCTGCCGCCCGTCATTTCTAAAGCCCGCATTATATCATCATCATAATCATCGGCTTATTAATGGCCTCACTGCTGGGGCACAGGTCTTCCCTATGGATGGAATAGGGAAATTGGGCTAAGATCAACTAGGGGGCCACAGTACGGATTGGTACTAACAGTTTTGTTCTAGATGTTGACTCTAAGGCCCGTATTATAGAAATATTTTCAGTGATTGATCTAGTCTTGAGCATAGTTAGAAAGGGATGTCCCTATATATAGCACATAGCGACATCCCTTTCTAACTGTACTCAAGTAAATTAGTCAAAACTCTTAGACTAGTCTTAGGCTAGCTCCCACTGCAGACGATAAACGTGAAGCGAGTAGAGCTAGAAACGAGTTTTGAAACTTTCGCCTTACATTATAAATATACCATTTTATATATAACATGCGCACAGTGTTAAATGTTTTCGTAGCTTCTTTATCCCGACGTTTCGACCAGGTTACATTGGTTGTGGTAACCTGGTTGAAACGTCGGGATAGAGAAGGTACCAAAACCTTTAATAACGTGCGCGTTCTAACAAGTGCAACAAATGTCAAATTTGAAGTTTCCTACATTGTATGTCAAAATTGAAAGGTCGGAGTAAAAAGTTGCACTCGGAGTGTTGGTTTGGAACGCAGCCGCCGTTAGCGAGATGTCAAAAAAATGGCCGATGAAGCAATACCCTGCTGTTCAAACCGCTCGATTTGTGTACGTGTTTTCCATCGGGCTCGCAAAGCAAAAACTTTGTTGATGCAAACAAATATGTGTAGTGAAACAAAGTTTTGTGTAGACTCACCAGATGGCGTCACTGTTGAGTGAGGTCCTGAAGTGTAGCTTTTAAAGTTTGTTAATACCCGCGTGAAATCAAAGTTTACATTTAAATCATATTTTAATACAAAAGCACCGTATCGTAAACGTAATCGGCCATGCCACAGTGTTGTGCAAATGTGCAGTTCCGTTTTGTTCGGAAAAACAGGAGGACATAATATTTTTTCTTAGTTCCGCTTTTAAAACACTGGCATTCATTGCCATATAACTCATATTTGCCATAATTAATCGGAGTTATTACTAATATTCACAATATTATTTTAAAAACAATTGACATTTCGGAGACCTCACGCTACACCAGTGCCTTTTGCGGCGGATTCATACGCGATAGCCCTCATTGCTGCTGCAGAGAAAAAAAAAACCAGCGAACCTTACAGTAGTCGCGTATGATGTGTAACTTTTGAAACCTCACCTTATATTAGCAAAAAAGAAATAAAACCTACTATAAAAGGAATAAGCCATTTGAACATTATGTTCTAAAATCAAATCGAATAGCGCGCGCTTTCGCGACTTCCTGTTACACACTTCCGTCCTCAAATTGCAGGAAAGCGAGAGGAAAGATGTTACACATCAAAAACCTAGAAATATATTAAGTAAACCGTGTCCTATACTTATGAAGAAAAATTAACTTTTTTTTTCACTTGTGTCAAAGACTTACTTGATGGGATCATGCATTCTTTTGTGCAGTTTTAGAGACTTGTTTGTTTGAAACATAGTATTGCATATCTCGCATTCGAAGTTTTCTGAAGGAGATGGTGCTGGTATGAGATTTCCTGGCAAAAAAATAAAAAAAAACAACCTCATTAAAAGAAAACTTAATAAAAATGCAACATGACCTTTTTGCGTCATATACTATGGGTCAAGCAGCAGTTTTTTAAAACATCGGCGAAATCCCTAATGAGTTTGAGACCTTATATTAAATATAGGAATTTGTAATTTCGTATTAATTATATACCTAAAGAAAAGTTTACTAGAAAAAAATCCACGCGGACCAGGCAGCGGACGGGACTCGAACCCGCATCCTTCGCTATCCGGGCGAATGCACTGACCATTATGCTACCACGGCCCTAATAGCATAATGGTCAGTGCATTCGCCCGGATAGCGAAGGATGCGGGTTCGAGTCCCGTCCGTTGCCTGGTCCGCGTGGATTTTTTTTTCTAGTAAACTTTTCTTTAGATTTAAACATCTAGCAGTTAAATGCTTAAAAAATAAATAAAATCATAATTATATACCGTTAAAACAGTGTCTTAAGGCAATTTTCAATTTATTCTAATTTCCCTTGAGCTTGAAATTCATGAGATTTAATATAAATATGAATTTTCGAAATTAATCTCAGCTTAGATATGGATATATTGTAAATAGGTAAATTAATGTTACTTTCTTTCATAATTTTTTTTGCTTATATCTTTTTTTTTTCATCAACAAAATGGTCCTTCTAGCCCTATATCGGACACTTATGATAGTGTAAAAAAAATCCTTACCTGTTTTTACTTTATGCACTTTCATATGAGCACAAAGAGATTTAGAGTTGTCGTAACTAACAGGGCAATGTGGGCACTTGTACTTAACTGAAAATAAAAGGTACTTCATTAAGAGCCGATGTGTCAATTCCCTGATATAAATTAATACATACGAGGGGAGGTCAATAAGTGTGCGGAATGGAGGGGTTGGTAGGGGTAGGTTTACTCGTCCAGGTTGGCACTAGTTGAGCACCTCATTAAGAGTATGTATACCAAGTTTGAACCTAATCGGGTCATTAACTTTTGAGTTATCGACCTGCAAACAACTGAATCGGGAAGAAGTCAGCCAGTATGGAGAAAATTTAACACCGCGCCGCTTATTAAGTTCCTTACCAAGCAAGGAAAATCCGCTCAGGTTATTTTTCAAGAGCTGTAGGTGGTTTACGCAGACTGCCCCTGGTAAAACCATGGTTTACATGTGGCATGGTCTTTTCAAACAATGGACTCTATTGAAGACAATCCCGCTCTGGACGGCCAATTGAGGCCACCACACCGGAAATCGTCGGAAAAGTAGAAAAACTTGTATTGGAAGATGCCGGGTTGAAGAAGAAGCAGCTTGCAGCAATGAATACGAGCATTTGTACTCCAGTCATGGATGTTTTATATGTATTTCTGTATAAATATACATGTACTTACTTAAAGTGCTTACTTTGGGGCTAAGCTAATTGGTGTGAGTGTGGAATTATTTATTTATTATTATTATTTATTATCTCTGCTGTGCGTCAGTTTCTTGAAGCTCAGTACTTTGGATTGCAGTTTGGGAATCTGGCTGTTACAGAAATTTTGGTGATCGTATTCTCATTACCTATTGAAGGATTTGTTCAACCCGGGTTTCTGACCATATTCAACTCTTTATTAATATAGTCTATTCTATTCTGTTTGGTTCAGAGCTAAATAATTCCGTCCCGTTTGTCAGGCCATTTCAAGTGTTTATTATTAGGCCGGCTTATTTCATTGATAGTTTAATTTGACTATAATTAAATCTTGTAGAAAAAATAACCATTTGTCAAAATTTGACACATTAAGCTCCACCAAGTGGACCTAAGGCCCACTTTCCGCAAATTTGCTAAATCACAATTTATCTAGAACTAGATTTAGCCTATATTACATTGCCATACAAATTGAATTTGACGTTTTGACATTTTTCTATGGGTTAAATCTACTTTTAGTTGAAGATATAGCAAATTTGCTACAAGTGGACCTTACTTTGTATTAGAAGTGACATTAAATTTCAATATTGATGAAGCAACGCGGCCTTAGTAATAACTAATAGTAATACTAGCGGATGGCCACGACTTCATCCGCTTTATTTGATTGACTTGTCATACAAAAGTTCATCCCAAATTTAACCCTTTCAAGTTTTATATTCACGACAGAAAGAACGATCACCAGGGTACCATTTAACTCTATATCAATTCAGAATAATCAATTCAGTGATTTAGGCGTGAAAGCGTAACAAACAAAGAAACTCACTTTCACATCACATTGCGTCCTATTTAGACTTGGTTGGGTTAGGTTAGGTTAATATTAAAAAAAATACTTACAAGTTTTACATGGATGATTTTTGAAGTCTTGTAAATTGCTAACATTTATATTGCATAACGTACAAACATATGCTTCTCCATACATTACCACTTCTTTTACTATTACTTTGTGAGAAGGTCCACCTTTTTCTGGAACAATATTAACCATACTGTAATGGATAGAAAAACTAGGGGTGATGTCGGGATGAAGTAAACGAAATTTTATTTAGGTAGTCAGTCAGTTAGATTATCAAAAAATTATGGTCACGTATTTTTTTATTTAGTCAATCAAGCAAAAATTGACAAAGACAAAGCGCTTTAAAGATTTTTTTGTTTTATCATACTCATACATGTGTGTTTTATCTATGGATAGGTCTTAAAAATGGTATAGAGGTTTCTCATATATTTTTTTTCTAAACTGAATAGTTTGCGCGAGAGACACTTCCAAAGTGGCAAAATATGTCGTCGTCGTAACTTCTAAAATAAGAGAATGATAAAACTAAAAAAACATAGATATATGATCTACATTATCATGCAAACTTCCACCGAAAATTGGTTTGACCGAGATCTAGTAAGTAGTTTTTTTTAATACGTCATAAATCGTTAACCGCAATTTACCTTTCATTCAATCAACTCAAATATAAAAAATAAAAAAATAATAACTTCATAAACATAAACCATTATTTTCTAATAATAAATCTGTAATAATAATTATAATTCGCGCGGGGCGTGGCTTGATCGGTAGCGGACACTCACACGTGAGGGCAGACGTCGTTGAAATTCGTGCGCGCGGAGCTAATTTTTCGATACATTTGCGAATGCTAAATATTACGTTTTACAACGAACTACAAGAACTTTTATATTATATTTCTTGCTGCTACGGAACCCTTCATGGGCGAGTCCGATTCGCACTTAGCCGCTTTTTTATTATATTTATTATAGCTAAATCAAAAACGTAAAAGGACGAAATGATTTATCACGGAGTGAACTGTTAAGTTCTGTTCTGGACGTGAAACAACTATTGCGGTGGTTGTCTGAGCGGCTGTTGAGTGGCGACGTTTATTGGCACCACATTGGCTCATACTTTCAAGCTTTATAAGAAATAATTATATAAACAGCCATGACTAGAATTTATGTATTAATCATACACAGTTCCTCTACCGGGATTCAAACCCCGGATTTCAGAATAGGCGAGACCTTGAAAACCGGTGTACATACCACTACCAAACCAAGGAAATACTTTTAATAAAATGCAAAGTATTCAGTTTTTTAATTTATAAAATTAACAGTGGGTACTTGACTTACTACTTACCCGGTGGATTGATTGATTTTACAAAACTATCACAGAATTTCTCAATTTTGACATAACGAGAACCCTGTTTGCCCGTTTTTTCAGCTGCTTGATTCTTTTCTTCTGCATTGTCGATTTCTGCTTCTGTAAATCACCAAAAACTATATATAAAAAAAATAGTTCACATGAAAAATACAACTAGGTACCTTAATTGGCAATCGAATAGGCACCCCCAAGATAACTACACTTTATTGAAATTCACAAACCAGTTCAAGAGATCAAGTCAGGCAGTACCACCTTTGAGATCACAGTTGGGAACATGGGTCAAAAGTCCCGAGGGGAAAGCTGAACTTTTCGCTCATCATCTCAGTTAAGTATTTCAGCCATCTACAATGACGGACTTTGAATATGAGGTGAACACCTTCCTTTCACTTACAATAAAACATGTGACACCAAAGGAACTACGCAAAGTAAACAAGTAATAAAAAAAAGCTCCTGGTTTCGACTTGATTACTGGTGAAGTCTTGAAACAGCTGCCAAAAAAGGCCTTCGTCTTTCTAACGGTGTAATGCAATGCCATATTGAGAATACACAACTATCGCAGATTGTGGAGAATCTCCCAGATATGCATGGTACGCAAACCTGGAAAGGTACCGACAGATCCCAGCTCATCGCGCAATAAATCTTCTCCCAACTGTTTCAAACTTTTTGAGAAATTTTTGGAAGAAAATGCTATAATACCCGACCACAAGGTTTGAGATTTCGGGAGAGGCATTCCACAGTTGAAAAAGTACATCGCGTGGTGAACAAGATAACTCAAACTTTAAAGCGGAAGGAATACTGTGCTGCAGTTTTTCTGGACATTCAACAGGCATTTGACAAGGTCTGACTTGAGGTGTTGTTATATAAATTGAAAACTCTTCTACCCAACTCTTACTATATGGTATTGAGATCCTACTGGGTACGTGGACATAGAGTCCTCTGTGCCTCAAGGCTCTGTCCATGGTCCTATCTAATACTCCATACAAGCAGCAGACCTACCTTGCAGCTATAACGTATTAACAGCAACCTACGCCGACGATACTGCATGCCTATCTAGTCATAAAGACCCGGTTGTAGTATCCGAAAGGGTACAAACACATTTGTATGCAATAGATAAATTGCTCGATAAATGGAGAGTCAAACCAAGTGCAGCCAAATCTCTACAAATCACATTGACACTTTGCAGAGGAAAATTTCCAGCGGTGAACTTGAGAGGGAAAACAATTTCTTAAAGAAACATGTGTAAAATATCTTGGATTCCTGCTTGATCAGAGATTAACATGGGCCCACTATATCAAGGCAAAGAGAAAAGAAGCAGATCTCAATTACAAGGGCTTATATTGGCTGATAGGAAGGCAGTCATGACTAAAACTTAGCAACAAACTACTAGTCTACTTGAATCTCGAAATCCTACAAAGGTTCCAGAACAACGTCTTCTTTGAAATAACCCTCGAAACACAAATGGGAGAACATAAAATCTGATTATGGCTGATTGGCCAATTGCAGATAGGAGAATATTAAAAAAACATGAGAAGTATAACTAAGTCCTTTAATTACTATGGAATAAATCACATGATATGTAACATATCTATCGGCCCACTTGGCATTTTATATTTTGTGATGGCCTATATGATTTTGATTGTCCCTAGCTAAAGATAAATGTTACATTGAGCAAAAAGTTTTAATGCAGTTACCATTGAAACTTATAACACTAAGTGGGCTAATAGATGTGTAAAAATGATATGTATAATTATTTTTGCAAAAGTGAAATGTATAATTATTTTGGCATGTGATAAAACTTTAAATAACTTTTTATTTTGTACCAAAACATATCAAACACTATACACATATGAGTCTAAACCGTTTATTTATTTGTAGGGTGCTCCATATAACTAAACAGAGTAATAATTAAAGGCCCTGTAAACCATCAAATTTGTTTGTCAAATGCATAAAACATACCCATAAACAATCAAATATGTTTGACAAACATGTAAATTTGACAAATATGTTTGATCATTTACAGGGCTCTTTACACTTCGCCCTAAAATGCCTCAATATAGTAGACTATTACTAGTACTGAAGTACTGAAACCTACACTGAGCTAACGAAGTTCAATAAAAAACATGTTACTTAACAATTTATACAACCGTTTTCCCATTCCCTTTATAAGGCTATGTAGATTTGTAAACCTAATGTTTTAAAAACTTATAAATAAATTAGCAATGCCAGCAATTACTTTTAAATGTAGATATTAATTACAGACCTAAGGTATCGTCAACCTCAGTTGCATCCACAATTTCACCATTGCTGAGGATTTTGTGTTTGGTAACTTCTTGTTTCACCATGACAGAATCATCTGCTTCAAAGATGTCATATGACTCTAATGGCATTTCCTCATCCTTCAATGACTCCTGTGTGATGAAATAAATATTGCAATTTTTATACTACTTCTAAAAAAGACTTTAAGGCCTGTATTACAGGATGACAACTAAGTGTTGATCTTTACTTGAGTACAGTTAGAAAGGGAAATCGCTATGTGCGATATAAAGCGACATCCCTTTCTAACTATGCTCAAGACTAGATCAATCACTGAGAATCTTTCTATAATATGGGCCTAAAAGTCCCAAACTCTTTGCATATGATTGAAGTGCATCCAAGAATGTGTACACTGTACTTTTTGCCTCCAGATTTTCTGTCAATTTATTAACTTAATTTATACTTATTTAAATTAAAATAAATCACACAATACCAAAATACATTTCTCAGCATAATAAAAATAAAACTGTATTAGTAGATAAAATAAATTTGTTGACTTACCTCTACTACAACTTCTTGATCATTGTGGTAGGTCTGTATGTGTTCAAGTACTGATGAAAACGAGACTCCACAAGTGTTACAGCTGTAAAGCTCTTCTTGATTGTCTTCTGCTTCATTTTCTGAAGGCGCAATAACAGTTTCAGCAGATTCAAATTTAAATTCTGAAAATAATTATGTGTTTCAAGCTTTTGGTGTAGAAGATCTTATAAAGATATACTAGAGTTATGTTACGAAAATCAGAAAAAATGCAAAGCAGCTTAAACAAAAATTCGAGACAGAGTATATATATATATATTAAGACTTTTTTTAAATATATCTGAAAATTGGTTATCAAATCCAGTGACTTGTGTTTTCAATGGATAGATTTGTTATACTAACTCCCTTAGCAAAATTATGTTGGATTGAAGTTATCCTGACCTCTCAGGTTTGCAACACGAAGATTACATTAACCAGCTAATAAGACAAGCAGCATTCAATGAAATTGCAAAAAGACTACAAGCTAAGTTAATGATTTTCTGGTATTTGATTCAGTTAGATTTCTTTTACTGACTACTAGCCCCGCAATGAAAAAAAAAATACAAAATTTTGATCACCTACTAGGGCATTACAATTCAGCAATCAAAAGTCTAATAAGGCATTAGAATTCAAACCAAGTCAAAGAGTGCTGCAACTATAGCAACCATTTATGCATATACTTTTATTTATAACTTACCACTGATGGCTTAATTTTGATCACCTACTAGGGCATTACAATTCAGCAATCAAAAGTCTAATAAGGCATTAGAATTCAAACCAAGTCAAAGAGTGCTGCAACTATAGCAACCATTTATGCATATACTTTTATTTATAACTTACCACTGATGGCTTGCAAAGATATGGTACCATCGCTATTTTGACTAGGTATCACTGCATTTTCCAAATTAACATCGCTTCCCCCTTGGGACATGATCACAAATTGGTCTGCATCCCTGCCTCCACTGAGCAATTTCAGCTCTTGAGTTGGTAAACATTTTACTTTGTCTTTGTCAAGTATTTCTAAATAAACACTGCCTTCTGTGACTAAAGCATTTGTTGCACCATCAACAAGTTGATTAGATGTGCCAGAGTATTTGCATTCTGAAATGTTCTCGACATTAGCTGAAATCACATAGTAATAGTATTAATTTAACAACTAGGTACAGCTTGTCAGGGTAACTTAATAACATAGATTTTTTAATAATGTCCTGAAATTGGTAAGTTTAATTATTTAAATTACATAAAACTAAATTATGATTATTTTTACAATTCCTTACTTTTGTATATTGTAAGAAAAACAGATTTTTCTGCTGGAATTTTATGTAACCTAACAGAAGACCATAGAAATATGCCACTAACTTTAGTAGTGTTGTGCTTCTGTTGATAAGTAAGAAGCTCACAGGTCAGAGGATGAGGTCAAGGTAGGCAATGCATAAGTATTAGCTCTTGAGCATCACAAGTTTCTCTAAAGGCTATGGTAGCCACTTAACATCATGCAGGCCTCATAAACGATATTTCTTTCTTTTATTACATAAGAAAATCTATAAATTGAAAAGTTTCAGTTTTAACTTCCTTGACTTCTTCTGTGCTGTTCCGCATGCTGGATTCAGCTAGATGGATAGTGCGATTAGTGTTAAAAGCACTAACTTTGGACAAGTGCACATAATTATTAATCTTTTCAGATGCTTTATTATAAATTCATCAAGAAAAAAACAGCATGAAAGAATATTGTTGACTCACAGGCAAACAAAGCATCCAAAGAGGTTAATAATTGACAAAATAATAACATTTCAGTGTTGATCAATGCAATCAAAATTTGAGCAAGAAGTTTTCTCACCATCATCATCTATTTCATAAGTTTTTAATATAGAACAAGGATTTTCAATATCTGGATCATTATCATTGGTTTCTTGAGAATTAGCAATTAAACTATTGTCTGGCTCACAATCATCGAGAGTTAAGTGTTCTATAAGATGAGCAAGTGATGACCATTTGTTATTGCATACAGGACAAGATAAATTAGATAATACATTTGACAGGTGTTCAGCAAATGCCAATTTGGTTTCAAAAGTTTGGTTACAACAAAGGCAACATTTCAAAAATGAGTGCTTCATTGTAAAAATATTAGTTAGTACTTAAATCTGAGTCATACAAAGGACTAGACAAAATATATGCAAATGCTCAGATCAAATAATTTGATCTAGTGAAAATGTAAATCAAAGGGAATTATGAATTGGAAGCAACATTAATCGTTATCATTTCATTCGATCCAACTTATCATTGAGTGCTACATTCAGTCAAATCTTGACATGGCTAAATTCTCAACACAAATGATTCCTGTTCTGAAGAACTTCACACTAATTTGCTAATAACATGAAGAAAGCACCGAACGAAACAGAAATGCGGAAAATTGAATGGGTTGACTTTTGGGCAGTGTTGCCAGAGCCTGCACGGCAAAAGTTGTCAATGTCGGCTTGAAATGGATCCAAATGTTGTCCTTACAAAAAAAAAACAACAAATATACAAGTCGTGACTATTTTATACTAAAAAAATACCGTGTAATATTGACATATCCTAAAAAAAAAAGATTAACTACCTGAACTTGTATTGTACCATAAAATTCAACAAAAAAATATTGTTTATCCAATCCCATACATTATTCTTTTACAGATCTGAAAATCATGCATAAGGGCTAAGTGTATAAAAAAAAAATTAAAATGTAATTGTATCTTTAACAATAGGCTAGTTGACCCTTTTTGGAAAAAGGTTTTAAATGGTTAATAAATGTTCTATTAGACCGAAAAAAAAGGTATTGTATTTTTTTTAAACCTAGAAAGCTACAAATCTTTAATTTTATAATAGACTTTTCATGGACATACAAAAACGCTGTCGGCAATTTTAGTCTATAGATTATCTATGCTATGACATGAACTGTGGTAAACAAAAACTCGTAAACACGTAGAAAATTACTTTTAACTGAGTTTATAAAAAAAAAACATGATTTCTAATAAATACCACGAAAAATAAAATAATTATCATTACTGTATTGTACGAGAATATAAAAACACACCCTTGAAGACTCCAGGAAAGTTGTGGATTAAAGTGCCGAAAGAAATAAACCAAAGCCACTTTATTACACTTATTCATATGTTTTATGTATAATACTACATTGGTGTCGATTCTAGCATGATTCTCTAAACCTAAACTTAAATTTGACAGCAGTATATCCTTGTCATTCTCTATACAGAATGAAAAGGAGAGACTGATGTCAAATTTAGTTTTAAGTTTAGAGAATCATGCCAGAATTGGCACCAATGTAATACTAAATGCACTGTACTTACATAGATGCCTTGTCGTTTCTCTGCTCCGCAGAGCAGAAATGGGGGTTTAGTGCAACAGATTCACCAACCATCAATGCGTCAATTCTTGGCAGATTTGTGCTTTCTGCTTTCACAAAGCCGGCATCCATAATTAGTTTTGTCAAAAAAAAAAACTAAGTTTACTGTTTTTTTCTTTCCTTAAGTTAAAAGTGTTTTAAGATAAATTTAGTCAGACGAAAGAATCCACCTACAGTAACACGCGAATGACATTTAGTTGTTTACCACAAGAGACGTCAAAATCATGGCAGATGTGGCGAACAGCGTTTTTAGTGTTTAAAAAATATAGACTAAAAAATTTCTTTTAAAATTAAATTTCTACAGCAATCTTCTGCTTTTATGAAGTGAAATCGATATATTAAGGTTCCTTAGACTAAATACTTTAAGAAATAAACATTTATTTAATACAATTCGACATGAGTAAACTAGCCTATTGCTTTTATAGCCATTAAAGATGAAATGGCCTCCATATTAATATTTGGAAAAGGCAGGACGAAAAGAAAGTTTCAAACTTTCTGTAAATTGGGGCAAGCTCGGTCGTACGAAAGATCTTTAATTTTAAAAATGCTTTTTCAATATTCTTCAGCATCTTTGCAAATGGAAACACTATCAAATGCTAATGACACCATTATTTTTATTTAGGTACTTTATTTGCTTTGCCATAACTAAAGTCAACTCATTTATTACTTGATATAGTGAAAAAAAACTTAAATGTTGCAAAAAACAGTCTGTCATTAATACAAGATATGTCACCGAATGGCCGTTTTTTTTAATACATAGTTTAAAAAATGGGTGCGTGTACTTATGTAGGCGCGTGAGAAGTTATCCTTCTTTGGCATCGTTTAAAATTAGTTTTTAATTGCATGCAAATAATTAATTACAATAAATTAATAAAAAGTCTGGAAAAGGACACAGTCAATAAAGTTCAGTTTTAATTTGAAAAAATAAATAAATAATCAAAATATTCAATTAAAATCGCTACTGAATATAATTTATTAGAACATATGTGATTTGCACTTGTATGAAACTCAAACACGTATTCCGAATATACAAACTAGAAACATGAGGATAAATATTATAAATATGAATACCTATAACTGTTACTTTATTACAAAAAATAAAGATGTGGTTTTTGGTTCTACTACACCAATGGTCAAGAGATGGCGCTGTAGTCTCCTGAATCGCGCTTTGGTTCCGTTGTTCCAGATTAATAAATACTTTTGATAGGCCTTCACAATGCAGTCGTTAGCACCCACTAAATAGAGATTCTATTTCTATTTTGTTGGTAGATTTTCTTAATGTGCGGTAAACACAAAAGTAACAGCATGAAGTTGGTCGCTAAAGCGACCAACTTCATGCTGTTAAAATTTTGTTTTACAGTGATGCGCGCGCATCTTAAAATTTCACTCTCATCATTTTTTCATAACGCGCCTAAAGAAGTATAACTTCAAAAATGGATTCTGAGGTCCAGAGGTCCGCGTTAAAATGTGAAACTGTCGTTTTTTTTTCAAGAGTTATCAAATCAATGTTTATTAAGTAAATGCATTTGGAGCGAATTTTCTTCTAATACTTACTATAAACTGAATCAATGAAAAATATTTGTAAAAATCAAATGTATGGTTGGTTATAAAGTCATCTCTTTCATTTGCGCCTCGTGCCTACCATAAAGTATGAAGTATTTTGCTAGCAATATAGCAGGCACCATAGATAAATAATTTCATGATGCCTGCTATATTACTAACAAAATGGCATCCGTAATTTGTATCTCTCACTTGACTCGTTTTTGTGATCAGTCATGTACAAATAGTAGGTCCATGTTGTTGAGAGCTACAAAAAAGTAAAATTGTCTTTGGTTTGTGTCGTGTGCAGTATCTTCTTTAGTGTGTACTGTGTAGTGTCTTGTCTTTGGTAAATGAATATGGGCGCCGTGTCGTCGTGGTATTTTGTTTTAGTACTTTGGCGTTGAGTTGAACATTGTTTACAATTGCGTAGTGTATTTATTTAATGAACTGATTTTATGAGTTAATTGATTATATTACGTACTAAAGAAGTATAAGGATTGTGGGGATATGGTGTGACTGTGACGTTGGGCTGTCATTGGATATGTATCTATAGGTTTATACATTCGTGTTTACGCGGGTAATTAAAACCACGAAGATGTTAGGCAAGAGAATGCACCACAACAGTAAAGGACGACTGGCAAGTAAAGGCCATGACAACGGTAAACCAGCAAGTCCTGGTATATCACCCTACAATAAACCTGCTAAAATACCTGGCGCCATTTCCGCGGGTAAAACTAAAGTGGAACTGTGTCCTATACCGTATATAAAAATACAAGACAATGCTGTACACCTTCCACGATTTACCGCCATAGCTGCAAGGTCTGCCGATGAACAGATTGGGATGGATGAGCTTGACGCATTACAACTTGAACTGGAGTCTCTTCTCTGCAACACCGCCCTTCGTATTCGCTACTTTCAATCGGAAATCGAGAGCATTGACACTAATGAATCCAAACGTGAAAAGAAAGGAAAAGCAGCAGGCAAACAGTTACAGTATCCTGTCAAAAGAAAATTTATGGAGGATAAATTAGTGAAAACCAAAGACTACACTAAATTATCCAATCAACCGAAGGTGCCTAAATTCAAAAATTTTTCCAATGCTTCTGGAACTGCTCATAGTTACTCCAATGAGCATTTGAACTCTGATAATTCTGTTAAGCTAGAAATGTCTCAATTTGCACTGCCAAAGAACAATATACCTTATAAATTTTGGAATTCTGTTGAACCATATTGTGCTCCGATTACCTTAGATGATATAAAGTTTCTGGAATCCTTGCTTGCTCAAAGCAGTAATACAACACTACCACCAATACCACCACTTGGTAGGCACTATTCTGAGGTGTGGGCTGATGAACATTTGGCAGAGGATCAGAATGCTTCTAATCCAAACCGGCACAAATCTGGCATGTCTCCTGAAGCGTCCACCATAAGAAAGAAATTGGAGAAGTCTAACGAAAATATGATCACTGGGCCACTAACACAGAGACTTGTATCAGCGTTAATGGAAGAAAATGTGATGCCTTATGAAGTACCTGATGTCAAAGTTAAACAAATAACAAATACAAAGAACACCTACAAAAATTCACTGACATTAGAGAAATGTCTTCGGAAAGAATTAGTAGAACAAGGTATATTAGATCCTGAAGATTTGCCTCCTCTGACTAACCCTGCTGATGACGAGATATTAGCAGAAATTAAGAAATGTCAAACGGAACTAACTGCAGTACGAAAAGATAACTGCCGTAATTTGAAAAACCTTATTGGTTTTTGTAAACAAGAAATGATTCGATTAAACTTGAAAAAACAGTTGGATCAAGTGGATATGGAGTGTGTAGACATATATAAAAAGATGGTGGCAGCAAAGCAGAAGAAAAGACCTATAACTAAAAAAGAAAAAGAAGATGCTTGGAGAGCCATTAATGAGCAAATAAGGCTTAATAAAGAGATAAATGCTTTACCTTTAACAGGTCCCAATTCAAGCTAAGTTAAGACATGGGATTTCAGAAAAAGAGTTTGTAAAAGCTACCTATTTTTTATTTTAGCAATGTTATATAGGTTTACATTAACAAGCATGATTTAAGAAACATTTTTGTAACTGAATTTAATTAAAAAAACTGCCTTACAGATCCATAGGTACAAGTTAAATAAAAACATAATGATATATCTGCTAAATGTTTTTCTTGTTTCCTCCAACTAACCCTAAAAAATGCAATCCTTGACTGTATCCGTTCCTCAAAGCCATAACGGAAAGATATTTTATTTTTATTTTGATTATTTTCAGCAAAATAATATTAACTAAATAAATTTGTCTAAGAGCCTCTCCGTCCGCTCTGCGTGTTCGTTTCATGCTATTTCAAACAACAGCGCTGAGTGAGTTGGGTCCCCTACGCAACCGCACTGCGCTTCTATGAAATGACATAAAAGTTGTACGCAAAGCAGACGCCCGCTCCGTGCTCCTGCTTGACGCAGCGCAGGCCATCATTCTCTATAAATAATGAAAATGATGACTGATGTTAAATTTAGTTTTAAGTTTAGAGGCCATGCCGGAATTGAAACCATTATCAATATCAACCAGTGGCTCGTGACGGCACATATTCCAAGTCTGTAGACGGCACTCTTATACGAGTCTTTCGTCGATCATTTACGCAGCGCACGCAACGGAATCTCCCAAATGTAATATTTTTACCCGTTTTTGCAACATTTTACATCGATACGCTCCTACTGGTCGCAGCGCAATATTATATAGCCTTAACTATGGTTGTAAAAAAAACAGTTTAAAACTGAAACGCACCGTTTAAATCCTGAAAGCCACCGTTTTAAACGGTGTAATACCCGACTGCGGAGGCAAAAGAGAGTTATGTATTTAGAATTGTATTGTAAAGGCATAAAATAACGTACAATATTTTACAATATTGCTGAAATTAAATATTTGCAAGTAAAAAGAATATTACTACTTCTTATAATATTGGTTACTTTAAATATTTCATTAAAAAATATTTTATATTTTTATTTGCATTGGGAAGCTTACAGCTATTCTAGCTGTAAGCTTCCCCATGCAAATAAATGAAATTTGTTTAAAATTTTGAAAATTATGCTAACAATTTTCGATGTCCAATAAAACGTATTTATGCGGCATATTAATGACCCAGACCAATGAATTAATAATACACGTAAAATTGACAACTGGGGCCTATTTCATAAAAGACTGGTAAATACGACTGTTTTTACTACAGTAATTTACAATGGTAGTTTATTGTGGTTGAATTATGTTTCATAAAGTTATTTTTTACTACAGTATTTTGGATGGGTGACCAAAAACTTGTTATCTCGTGCTCCTCCGTGCTTCGGAAGGTACGTTAAGCCGTTGGCCCCGGCTGCATCTGCAATCGTTAGCACCCACCAATCCGCACTGGGCCCGCGTGGCGGGTCACGGCCCAATCTCCCTATTCCATCCATAGGGAAGGCCTGTGCCCCAGCAGTGGGGACATTAGTAGGCTGGTGATGATGATGATGTGATGATGTAATTTTTTTTTATCTTTTTGCGTTTTGAGCACTAGGTAATTCTAAAGTGAAAAACAAAGCAATGTTGAGTTTCTCCTGAGGTCGACATTTTTCACTTATAATAATTATTAGCAAAATATCTAACAAACATGAAAATACACATTTTGGTATTCCGATGCATGGCGAATTCGATAATTTAATGCTATTTTCGTATAAAAAAACACTGTTTCTAACCTAACGATAATAAATACCCTAGATACACCAACACGAACAAAATCGTGCCCGAAACCTGTTCAAAAGGTATTAAGGTATATTGAACGATCCACGGAGTTCCGTAAGATGACCGCGTAGTCAAAATCAATATAAGGCATTATTTAAATATTGAAAGTAACATACTGTATAAGGTCTTAAATAAAACGCATGCGTTAAGGACTTCTGACAGTTCGAAATGCACGCTCGTAAAATTTTGCGACTTATTGCTTTATGCGGAAGAATTTAGACCTTAGTTGTTCGACTCTACGCCTTAGATTAAAACATTTGTTTTAATCTAAGCTCTACGCGCAATTCTGAACGCGCTGTTAGGCATTGTCCTAATACAACGCGAATGAGCGATGCGATCATCGTACGAGACGACGATCAAACATATTGATCTAGAATACTAAAATGTTTAAAAATCTATTCGCGCGATCTTAGTTCGCGCGAACGCGCAATCAAACCTATTAATGATGAATAGGTGTCCTAACTGAAGTTCGCGCGATGATCGCGTCGCGTCGATAGGAAGCGGGGAGAGGGGCAGGGCTAACCCGTTCCGTATTCGCGTTCTATTAGGACACCCAGTTCGCGATCACGCGACGGTCGCATCGTTTAAACGTGCGATGATCGCGTTATCGCGTTGTATTAGGACAATGCCTTAGCAATATAGCAGGCACGGAGCGCGAGGAAAAGAGACGGCTATATGGCGACGTATAACCGACCATGCATTTGAATATCACAAATATTTTATATTAAATCAGTTTATAGTAAGTATTAGATCAAAATTTACTTCAAATGCGTTAAATTAACAAACATTGACTAGATACCTGTCGAAAAAACGTCACTTTGCGTACTCTAACTATTATTTTCTCATTTTTTCGCGGAGCTCTGTGGCATCTTGACTTTGTAACGGTCCGCGCGTGACTGTGAACCAAGAAGTGCTTGAGTGGAGTTCAAGGACTTCTTGATTGGGACACGTTTTGAGCGCTCGTGGTGTATCTAGGGTATTTAATATCGTTGTTCTAACCATAAAACTCCGTTTTAAACCAAAATTTTGATTTTAAACGGCATGGTTTGATTCGTTTTAAACCGACCTTACAACTATAGCCTTAACCCTTCCTCAATAAATGAACACAAAAAGATTTCTTCAAATCGAACCACTGGTTCCAGAGATTTGCGCATTCCACCAAAAAAAATAGTTCTGAAAAAGCATTCAGTACAGCGGGTAAAAACTACGCAACAAAATTTTCATGGAAGGTTTATAATTAAATTAAGAAATTGATTGTGTTTATTACAAACCTGAGAACACAAACTAATCTACACTACAGCTCTTCACCGAAGCGAAGCGAGGGCGGGCCACTAGAACTACTCGATAATGCCATATTATCGAGAAATTATTATTAAATCGACACTACTGCCATCTAGTGAGTAATAGCAGAACTTATTTTATTAAGTCAAAAAAGACGCTGTTTGCTCTTAGTTTCCCTACTAGCTACTAGTGTTGATAACGGCGCTGTTGGCCTTCCATAATAATTCCCGGCCTTGCACTCGATTGTGCTTGATTTGGAGCAAATTTTAATCTAACACCTCTTCCTTGTATCCGCATCGTAGGATAAATTTCCTAAAAAAAAAGTGGGCTTATGGCCCCACGACTGAAGTGAAACTTCTTCAGCTCCAATGATCTGAAAATCATAAACTTAACCTGAAGATTTGTTGATAGAAAAACAACCACCCATCCGCACTGGGTCTGTTATCACTCACCAATCCGCGCTGGTCCGTTATCACTCACCAATCCGCACCGGGTCCATTGTCATTCACCAATCCGCGCTGGGTCCGTTATCACCCACCAATCCGCACTTAGTCCGTTATCACCCTCCAATCCGCGCTGGGTTCGTTATCACCCACCAATCCGCACTGGGTCCATTATCACCCACCAATCCTCGCTGGGTCCGTTATCACCCACCAATCCACACTGGGTCCATTGTCACAAACCAATCCGCGCTGGGTCCGTTATTTATCACCCTCCAATCCGCGCTGGGTTCGTTATCATCTACCAATCCGCACTGGGTCTGTTATCACCCACCAATCCGCGCTGGGTCCGTTATCATCTACTAATTTGCACAGGGTCCATTATCACCCACCAATCCGCGCTGGGTCGTTATCACCCACCAATCCGCTCTGGGTCCGTTATCACCCACCAATCCGCGCTGGGTCTGTTATCATCTACCAATCCGCACCGCTATCACACACCAAGCACTAGATTCATGTATTTTGTGACGGGTATTGTTTGTTGTTTATGAGATGACTCACCTATGACACTAATCGTAACGCGAAATCGTAACACAGTTTACCCCCCAAGTCAAGCGTGCCTAAAAAAGTTTCACTTTAAAAATATAGCAAACATTCATTGTATAAAAGTTACAAACAAACTCACGGATTGTTCGTTCCGGCTGTCTTTGCTTTGCCGCAACACTTACCTAACCTTACTTCATTACCATTTAATTAAGCAGGTACTTAGTTCAATAATGCGACACATGAGCTTTTCAAACGATCGAAAGCAGCTTTTGCGCAGGTATTGAACGTAACCATTATGTCAGCCAAGTCAGCTGTCATCGCAATTCGTGACGTCTCTCGTTTACTAACTTTTGAATACAAACGGTTATTTCAATACCAAAATTTAATATTCCAGCTTATTTAGAAGCTTGCTTGTTGATCAGCAATTAAATAGGTACCCATCAATAATGGATAATCCCTTGACTCCGAACAAGATCCAGCGACTTATTCATTTAGCAGAAGATAAATCTTTTAATTTGCCAAGGCGTATGCTTTTGAATGATGAAGATTTGAAGAGGTAAGAATGATAACATTTGTTTTCTATTGTTATTAGACACAATATACCATAATTGATTTTTAAACCAGCCACAAGCAAGGACAAGGAATGTAATGTAAGTAATACATACAAGAACTTAAAAATGAAGTAGTATGATGTAAACGTGAATGTAACTAAAGCCTAAACTAGCCATAAGTCGCTAACTCAAATTAATAACTAAGTTTTATCGAAGGTAATTCACTCCAACGAAAACTTAGAATAATCAATGCATTGGTTTAATTTTAAAACTTACTTTTTAGACTCACTACAACACATAGTGTCAATAAATCAAATGCGAATACTAACTATGAATCATCGTCTGGAATATTGGATTTGGAGCGGCTAGAAGGTAATAAATTCTATTTGAAATTTTTATTTTCCATAGAAGTATATTTTGTTAAATTTTCTTCTGACTTTTTGATGTTCTCTGCGTGCATGTGATAACTCAGAAAAATGATGGAAAAAATATGAGCTAACTTTCCATAGTTTAGACTAGAGTTTAGATAAAATTAATTGGGTATGGAAAATATAGCTACCTACTAAATTACTTCCTGCAAAGAAGTTCTAGTCAGCAAATGTGTTTTGAGTAAACACTTCCTCCAGCTTAAATTTAGATTTTTATTTTAATACTGTGATTGTTTTTTTTAGGTTTTGGGGAGTGTTTAATTGGGAACATGTCTCTTAGTAAATCTGTAAGTAACCATTCAATATGCTACTTTTTTATGTTTGAAGGCTCTTGCTGACTATTGTATAATTTCTTCATGTGTGTTTCGTATTCAGACTGCTTTTAATCCTGGTGAACTGACTGGCCGTTCAACTGGCACTGATGAAGTTAACTCAAAATCTATTGCACTTGGGACCACACGTACATTTGAAGAGTTTGGTCGACATTCTCTGGTTTTAGACTCTCTCACTAGCCAGATGGACAAACAAACTACAGAAATTGAAGACTTAATGAGGCATTCAATTGCCACTAACTACTCATTTCATTCAAAGGTAACTTAAGATCTTTATACTGAACTGAGGCTCAAGCATGATTGATGACAGCTCCTTAACATATTGTGATCATCAATTTTTGTATGCAGTGCCGTCTTTGACCTATTGGAGGCCCTGGGCATATTAGGATAATGGGGCCCCTATGCCTTCAGTTTGGAGAAACCCACTGGCAAAGACGGGTCTGTTTGTATGGGAAAAGCTAGTTTGTTTTTATGTCCAATAGGGGTGCTTTTTAGTTTTTATAGAAACTTTGAAGATGCGATATGTTGCAGAGCTGACAAAAATTTGAGCTTAGGCCTCTGCTCTCAATAAAAAAGTAGTTTAATAATATATTTCTTCTATGATTTTTTCAGAGAGATTTGACTGCTGATGAAGCCTCTCTGGTAATGAGGGAAGCTCCTCTCCCAGTACCTCCTGGCACACAAACAAACTTTGCTGAGAGTGTAACGTAAGATTTAAATATTATTATTTTATATACTATCTACCAGGTGCAGGAGCAGCATGAAACTTTGGGTGGGGTGTCAACAAACTTATGATTAGCACCCCTCCCTCTCCTCCACAGAATTAGTAAATATTTGCTCTCAAATGTCACACCGCTTATAGAAAGAGTCGCCGGAAGTTTCAGCAGTCTTTATAATATTTTATTCTTCAATTTTACATGTGTTTTTTTGGGGGCTTATGTCCGCTGTGACCTTAGGACCGAACCTGTTCGCTATCCATACACATCCCATAGAGCTAGTAGTATCAATGATTACCATCAGCTTCACATGCCATCTATAGCATGGAAGAGCTTATTAAAGTACATTTTTGCTCCTATTCAGTACTAAATAAATAAATATTTCCAGCACTCACACCAATTAGCCTAGCCCCAAAGTAAGCACTGTAGAGGCTTGTGTTATAGGATACTAGGGTAACGGATAAAATACATATATTGTACATATATAAGTATATTTTTATGAAATACATATTAAACATACATGACTGGAGTACAAATGCTCGTATTCATCACACAAACATCTGCCCCCACCGGGATTCGAACCCGAGACCTCTCGAGTCGGCAACGCCATGAAACCCGGCGTATAAACTACTCGGCCACGGAGGTCGTCAAATTCAGTGACTAGCTCTTGCAAGAGTTGCTTAATTTCCATGGTCACAGGCTGGCCATGCCATATTATTCATGTACTTCAGGAAGAGTATTAAAATTGTTCATTCTATTTATTATTACAGATTGAACAATTCAAATATGTCAATGGGAACTTATTTTCAAAATAGATGTCCAGAATTTGGGAAAATACTTGGAAAGACTGACAGCCCTGACAGGTCTTTGAGGCCAAGTATTAGTGAAGGTAATTTTATTTTATAACCATTATTAATATTTATTCCAATATCAATACCGTGTTTTTGATACTGCAGTTAATCATTGGTATAGAGATAACTTCACTTCCGTTAAAAATATCTTTAGTTCGGTGATCAGATATATATCATCTCCAGTTCATACCTAGTCATTGCCTCAACAGTTTAATAAAAAGTAGATGATTGGTATTTTTTTATATGAATGTTTTAGTTTCGGCAAGTGCTGGTTTGGAGTATGCTGGAAAAGAGACTAATGTTTTTAAGATGGATATGTCCCTGGACAGTGTACCTGTAAAACAGCCCAGAAATCCCATTGATAAATTGCCAGAGAATAGAATTATCAACAATTTGAATGCAGTAGGCGATACACAGAAGAACTGCAATTTATCAGAAGTGAATAAGGATGTTCCAACTGGTAATATGTCTGCTAAAACAGAGCATTCCAAGAAATACTCTCAAGTATCCGTTTCAAATGTGCCAAATCCAGTTATGTCAAGCCAAAAACATTTTATGAGTTCCACTGCCAAACCAACTGATTTATTATTAAGAAATTTGCAGTCTTCTTTAAGAATTGTGACAGATGACACAGAAGGGTCAGTTGAGAACTCGTTAAGCATTTCTAAAATTGCAGACTATCTAGGTTGGTATTGATATTATTCACAATTTTTTAAATTATCTTATTTTCAAACGAAATTATACCGGGTGAAATTTAATGTTTTAATGAAACTTCGTGGGATTGTTGGGTTACGTATATAGAGTATCTCTGAATTTTTTCGGATTTTTTAAAAATGATTTAAAATATTTTTTTTTTGTTATATTTTAAGTCCTTTCCTTTTCTACACGCATACAGAGTAAGTAAAAAACAACTAATAAGCACTACTAAAAAAAACGTAAAAACAAGACGAGCGGCCGGGAGCAATGACCGCTCTCGCCGTTGAATCGGTTGAATACCTACCTATCCGCGGTGCAAAGTGCAGTGTCAAGTTTGTCCACCGCGCGTGCGTATCTTTTAAATTTGTGACAAGAGAAGATTTGCAAATAATGCCTTGATTAGTTCTTGTTCTGTGGCCTCAATATAAGAAGTTGGATATGGTGTGTTGTTATTGTAGTGTCACGGAATACTCAGCAGAGCCACCCACAAGGCTTTACGAAAGTAGGTTTGGTGATTGATTGTGTTTACAAAGTGTATACGGGAAGTTAAAGTGAAAAAAATGAATAAGTACATCGGTCTCGGAAGTACTTTTGAATACCTGGTTATAAAAATCATTCTGACCCAAGTATTGAACTGCAATAAGTATTTCTTTTTGTTTAACATTTGCCTATTTCTAATCGTGACAAAATTATTATTAACTTTTAAAGTTTTTCTCTGCTTAAGAGAAGATGATATTTGTGCTTATTATTTCAATAAAGACATCTAAGACGACTTTATTGTATTGTGGAATCAAAGGAGTCAGCTGAACTCTGTGTAGGTACCTACTCACTCAACGGCTGGCGGGCGCGGTCGGTCGTTGACCCGCGGTGGAATTTTAATGTTTTTCCATTTTTTAGTTATTTTTCACTGGATATGTAAGTTTGTTTGTTTAAAATGAATAACTACTCAAAAGGAGGAAAGGATATTAAAATACACAAATTATAAATAAATACATGAAAAAAATATACTTCAAAAAAATCCGAAAAAAATCAGGCATACTCTATACACGTAACCCAACAATCTCACCAAGTTTCATTAAAACATTCAATTTCACCCTATATAAAAAAAGCGTTAAAAATTTCTTTCTTAAATTGAATTGTGGTTGTACGATCCTTCACTTGCATACACAAATTTATCGTCCACCCACAACCCCTTTGATGTGCCTCGAAAAATCGCCAACTTCGGCAATTTCAAACTTGAATAATCAGCTAAGCTGCTATGTGATATAGTGGGGCATATAGCATTGTAACTTAATTATTTTAGTTTAAGTATTAATTTTCTGTATGCTATGTGTATCTAGATTAAGATTTAATAGGACTGACGTGTCCTTTTCGGACAAAAGTGTCTTATAATTTAGTAAAAAAAAAACTTCAATAATGCTGGCAGTGATGAGCTCTGTGGAAATATCTAACGACCCTCACGGCTTCGCCGGGGTATAACTTACTGCTAAAGTAAATCAGAAATGTTGACTTTTCAACACAAAAATTATTCACTGGCTGTTTATGGGAATTAAGAAAATTTTTAAAAAAGCATTGAACTTGTAATGTACTCCATGACCGATACTCTTAACTTTATTCTATTTGTTTGGATGTTCCAGGCAAGCAATCCAATGTAAGCGTATCAGACATGCTTCTTATGAAAAAGAGTGCCAAAAAACAACCACTGAAAGAGTTGCAAATGAACACCCAAGACAGATTTACAAATCACAATATGCAAGTCACTAGTTTACGCGATAGTAAAAATACTGCAGCTGCAAATTCTGGTAGTAGTATTAATACTGTTATATCCCTTGATAAATGGAAAGTAAATAAAGAGGATAACAAAGAAATTCCAGCAGTGATTGTCACTCAACATACAGCTAAAGTTGACGAAGAAGTGACTCAAGATGTGGATGACATAAAATCTAATCGCCGTACTACAAGGTCTAAATCACCTTCTAGCAAGAGTCAGTCAACTCTCAGTACAGTACAAGAAAACTATGCAAGCTTTAAATCGGAGGACAGCCTATCGAAAAGCAGAAGAGGTAAAGTATAATAAAATATAAAGGAAAGAAAAATCTTTGAATAATTAGTATAATTCTGCCACTCCAGTAGAGCCCTTCCTACCATTCTTATTTTATCTATTCTGTGTTTTTTTAATAAAAATATGATATTATATAATATACAAAATACCTAAGTACAGATTACTATTGATATGTACTATTATGCATAATATTTTATTTCATAAAATTTGAGTAAGTATCTTTATATGTGTTTTTATCATGGAGGTTAGAGAGAAGGAAAGCGATCGCTACGTACCATGCTACGTATCGCTAGTTATCGCATTAGCCCGCCTGTCCCTGAAAATTTGTAGAATGTATAGTTCATTTTTCAGCCACCAGCCGCGTTGCCGTCGGTAAGTAGTATCTGTGAAGTTAGCTGTTTATGAGTACAAGTAGATTAAGTTAGTTGAATATTGTACAAATTTTCTTCGCGGCATTGGTAATTTCAAATTAGCCCGCTTTTATTGAGACAACTTCGATCGTGGCGCCTCACTTATTTTGACCATATTTCTGGGACACTATTTTCTACAGCGATCGTTTTCCTTATCTCTAACCTCCATGATTTTTATAATCAACTAGCTGACCCAGCGTACTTCGTACTGCTTACAATAATTTGATTTATATGGACAAATGAAATTGTATTTTTACTAGCTTCGTCGCAATTATTCGAATTTTTCTCACCTTTAAACCTTCCCTAGACCTCCATGAACATTTCAAGACCAAGATAAGATAAATCTGTTCAGCCGTTCTCGAGTTTTGATTGATTGAACCGCAATTGATTTTTATATATATATAGATTAAGCATTGTCAGACATTCCAAACCAACATTTCACCACCAATAAATCGAAACCAAAATTTCAAAATATTGGTTTTTGGCAGGAATTTATGGTGGAGTTATTCAATGAATCCAAAGTTGCAATTTCAGGCGAAGCTCACAACTCGTCACATGTACCCTCACCAAATATCGAGTATAAAGAGTTAGATAAGTCTGTAGATTGGCACGATGTGTTACTCCAGAAGCGTTTGAAACACGAAGGCTTTGCTAAAGGTTTGTGGGGTCCGCTTCAGTCCTAACATCAGGATATCTAACATTTAACAAACTTACTCCTATTTGAAATTTAAAGACACTAACTAAAACATATTTTTTATTATTGAATTGTTTATTGTACCTATTTCATTTTTATTGTTTCATAACATGTATTTCCTGTGGTGAAGCGAAGCTAATCTACCTTATTTTGCCTGCAACACATCTCATGTTTTAACTACTGAAAATGACCATTTAACAATACTGACCTGAGAAAATCTTATTCTCATAATAAATCATCTAATAGTGAACCGGCCATCATAATACAACATGCATTGACTAATTATCATCATTATCATCGTCACCCTATTAATGCCCCCACTGCTAGGGCGCAGGCCTTCCCTATGGATAAATAATAAATATTTTCAACACTCACACCAATTAACCTAGCCCCAAAGTAAGCGCTGTAAGGCTTGTGTTATGGAATGCTAGGGTAATGGATAGTATATATATACCGTACATAGGTATATAAGTTTATTTATATAGAAATACATATTAAACATCCATGACTGGAGTACAAATGCTCATATTCATCACACAAACATCAGCTCATACCGGGATTCGAACCCGGGACCTCTCAAGTCGGCGACACCATGAAACCCGGCGCAAGAACCACTCGACTACGGAGGTCGTCCATGCTGGATATGTATGGAATAAGGAGATTGGGAAAGGGCTCAGTGCGCATTGGCGGGTGCTAACGACTGCAGATGCAGCCGGTACCAACGGCCTAACGTGCCTTCCGAAGCAGGGAACTCGAGATAGAAGATTTTTGGTCACCCATCCAATGGCCGACCACTGTTTCGCAGTGTCGGCCATTGGATGGGTGACCATTGGATGGTTGCTTATGTTCAACGATCGCAGCCGAACGCGCTAACCACCTGCGCCATCAAGCTCCTCTATATATTAAAATACAATCGTTACACCATCGTTATTATCATTATGTAAAACCATTTTATTCCAGAACAATGGGCAGACATTTTGTCTACAACAGCAAATGGTTTTGTAGGTAAGTTCAGAAAATAACTGCAAAGTTAACTAAAATCTGTATAGGTCTATGAGTTTAACTATAACACAATATTGGTTTTCAGGAGCTAGCTGTGCTGTCACAATAACGGTGACCACGCTAACAGACAGCTGGCTTACTGCAAAATTTCAGTTCGACGATTTACCGAACAACGGCAGAGATCTGACCGTCGAGTTGCCTCGCCTGCCAATCTTACTGTCGCCAGGGAAATCGGAAAATTTCACTCTTTATCTGACTTCCACAATAGAAATAACCACACGATTAGCATTCACCATGTCTTTCAAAGATTCCTCCGTAGACAGAGAACTTCAACAGAACGGATCAATAGATGTCGACATAAAAATGCCTGAAATACAGGCCATGTCTTGCGATGGCGTGAATAAAGTCAACTTTGCACCTACCGTGGAAAAGTGTACTGTCAACAAATCGTTTGTGCTCGTCAGTGATGGATCTGTGGATTTGCAACTCGATTTGTCTATAAGCGAAGGGGAGGGTACGTTCTTTATAACTAACGCGCAAGAAGTGAAGAAGTCTGATATCAATAAAGTGCTAATGGATCGCCAAGGCTTTACGGAAGAGCATTCGGCCAGGCAGAAACAAAAAGCCAAAAATAAACAGTTGTGCAGATTGAGCAGTGGGAACGCGATCAAAGTTACAGTTGCATTCAACGCTCCTATGATTTCTGATCTACAAACAAGTAAGTCGGAAAAAGTTGTTTAGAAGTCACATAGCTATCGCAATTCACCGGACCGCGGGATCGCAAACATTTTTGTAATTGTAAATTGGTGCGTAATGTATAAATGGTTTCTGTGGCATTTATCTCAGTAACAAATGCTCCGAGGAGATAATCTTAACGGTATTTGAAGTTAGAATATAAATAAGGTATTTGCGTAATAAATTTAATATGCTTTGCGCGGCCTTCCGTCCATGTGCGAATGCCATTACAATCTCCCTTAGACTGAAAGTCTTTTATCAAATGTGTATCGTGTATTCAGTTATATTAAACAACCAGTGTTACTACGATATAAAGAAAGTGATAGTATACATCCCTGCAAACTTCTTGAGCAACGACAAGGAAGCCTGCGCAGTAGCAATTTTACATACAAAATCGGTCTACTGCGCAAGTTTATTTGTCTGTGGTTTTGCTCAAGAAGTTTGTTGCGACCTATATCAATTCGTTTGATAATAATAATTTTCGATTAATGTCAGATTTACATTAATACAGTAAATGTCGCACATCTCACAGGTATGCTAGCTAACGACATTTTATTCCTGCCAGTCTAGTCACAAAAGCTACTGTCTAAATTTAATCTGATACCATAAGAAAATGATTAAACTTTGTTTTTGTCTAACAGATAACATAGTTTCCTTCAGAGGTGTTCTGGATGTGAATTTAATGGGTGTTAAAACTGTTTTGCGGAAAGTTGATCTCATTGGATTTGTTGGAATTGTGAAGTTAGTGGTGGATGTTCCTGGCAAGAAGTTACGCATGACCAGTGGTAAAGTATTATTTATTTCTTTCTAATGTTTTCACGCACTTCACCCATTAAATAAAACTACTTTTTAACGGTTATATTTTTTTTTTACTGGTTTATAATGCGTTTTTTGTTACCTTTTTACATAACTCAACATCCTGATGATCTTGATGACACCCTTTTCAGGATACGAAACGTAGATTTATGTAAAAAAGTACTTATTAAAAACATATTTTAAACCTGTTAAAAAGTAGTTTTATTTAATTAGTGGTAAATGCTCTAGTCAGGTCATAAATTCTGTCACATCTTTAATATAAAATAATTGAAACAAGTTTATTCATTATGTAACTAACCATTTATATCCCAAAATGAACTTAACAAAACATAGATATTTATGACAATAAAGTTTATTCAAAATGACCTCCGTGATTTTGAATACAGGCCTTCAATCTGCGCGGCCAGTCATCTATCGCAGCACGAACGAGGTCCATGTCAATATCGGCGGCTGCCTTAATCAAGGATGTCTTGAGTGACTCCAAATTGGGATGAGGCTTTGAGCACGCCTTTTCCTCCAAGTATTGCCATATCTTGTAATGTAACGGACTCAAATCTGGACTGGAGGAAGGCCAGATGAAGTCGATTTCTCTCAGATTTTCTCAGTCTTGTGTGCTCTTCGCTCTATGAGCTGGCGCCGAATCTTGTTGGAATAACCAGTCCCTGTTATTGAACATGGTATGAGAAACAGGTTCCACAAGGTTCATCAGGACCGTATTTTGATAACTGCATACGTTTTTACACCTTTCTCACAAAAATGTACCTCTGTTAAGCCCCAATAAGAAACTCCCAACCATACCATGAGCGAGGATGGAAAATCACCTCGTTGGACACGCGGAATACAGTTGCTCGCTTCTTTACTAATGTGTGCGTACACCTTATCATTTTGTTTGTTGTAGCTCTCTTCTACGGTAAAAATTTTTTCATCCGAAAAAAGAATTTCCCGATATTTTTTTCCGGCGTACCGCTTCAACAAAGCGCGGCATCTCCTCAGTCTCAGATCCATTAGACGAGCATGCAAACGATGTCCTGTTTTTCTTCGATATGCCCGAAGCCTGTCTTGTTTTCATTTAACATCCTTTTCATCGTGGTTCTGCTTAACCCCTTAGATTAAAACAAAAAAGGTAGATACGGCACTAGCCTCACAAAAGTGATCCGCGTAAATTGTGGTCCACGACCCTAATCGCTTTAGTCACAACTTGACATGCAAACGACGTACATGTGAACGGCAAAAAGAAATATTTTGTGTTTATATGATAAAACAATGCCTAAGTGTGTTTTTAAAAAGTGCTCAAATTGCTCAACAACTAAAAATAAAACGGCATCACTTTTCATTCGTAAATACTATAAAATATATTTTTTCATAAAATAGCTGTTTGTTTTGAATCTTATTCGGTAGTGACGTCGAGTATTGGTCGCGTGATTGGTCGGTAGTGAAGTGACGCGGATCTTGCCGTCTCGTTCGCGCTGCTGTTGAAACTTACGTGCTGTTTCGTTCGGGTCGGTAATGCAGTGACGCGGAGCTCGCCGTCCCGTTCGCGCTGCAGTTGAAACTTATACTGCTGTTTCGTTCGTTCGATTGTATCTTTACAAACAGGTGGATGTGTGAGTGTTGCATATGTAGTAAAGTGGGATCAGTTTTTGTTTGATGCAAGTATGAGTGTACCATATCTACCCTTTTTGTTTTAATCTAAGCTTAACCCCATCTGAAGGGCCAACAGTTTCTGCTTACGTTTGGGATTTTTTTGAATTCGCGCCTTCACAGCTTTTATCCCTGCTGGAGTCCTAACAGACCACTTCTTGACCTGTCATCTACACTAGAGTCTTCATTGTATCGTTTGATGGTACGATAAACAAATCTTTTGGTTATATTGAAATTATTCAGTATGTCAAAAATTTGAATTGGCGCGTAACCGCAACGATGCAACGCAATAACTGCAACACGGTCTTTTCACTCCATATTTAAAAATGAGTAAAATTCTAAAAAGTATATATTTTTATTTTCATGAACAATTCGAAATTCAAATTCAATAAACTTTTTTGTGGCCAGCATTCTAAAAGAAAAGTTTTTACTGTGTGACAATACTTATGAGCTGACTGTGTAAATTCAATGTTCTTAATTTGTGCTGATCTAGAAATACATTTATGAGTGATACACGTGAACATACAAGCGTGTCGATAATAATCAATGCTAAAACTTTTCATTAAACCATTAGGCTATATTAGCTTCAATTAGGAAGTAAAGTGAACCTCGCTATGTCCTTGATGGATGGGTGACCAAAAGCTGACGTCTCCAATCTTCTATGCCTGCCTTCGGAAGACCCTTTAATCCGTTATTAACTAAGATTCTATTTTAAAATCTGGCGCCCTGGCCCTTTACAAATTGAATCCCCTATAATAAGTAAAACCACTCCATCCGTTGCTAAGCGTACAGTTAATAACGTAAAAACACTTCTTTACGGCTCTTTCAAAGTGCCCTGTGTCGAAGATAGATGGGAATACTTGAGGCAAAAATATTCAACATTTGTTTATATTTATAGCCTACAACTCGCCCTCTTTTTTATATCAACGATATTCAAATCTTGGTCTATTTTATTCATACAGCTCGTACCAATAGAAAAAGGAATCGGAAATGACGACGCAAGATATTGTCTTCTCTCGCATATACGGTCAGAATTATTATGCGAGCATTTATTTTTGTACGACTTATACAAATAAAATAGGTCAATAATTGAATATCGTTGATATTAAAATGAGTAAAGAATTGTTTTGTAAAACTTGAGAAAAACCAGCACATTTATTATAACTTTATTTTTTATAGAAAATAACAATGTAATGCTTCAGAACATTGGAACTATTCCGGGTATATGGGTTGTTAAGGTTAAAAATGTCAATAACAATTGCCCAATAACTTTTTCACCGTCAAAGCTGGAGCTGCGTCCCGGTATCGCAAAACCGGTTATAATTACGTACACAGGATATGAAGACAGTATTTGTGAGACGTATGTATTATTTCTGTTATTGTATGCTATTTTTTCTGCACGTTTTAAAAGTATGCATACACTGAATGAAACATAAATAGTATGGAATACGAACTGCGCTAAAAAGTGGCCCCACGCAACTACTTAATCGTAGTTGCGTACGGGTGGGGCGAAAAACTGCGATCAACATGTCGATCATGGGATTGATTCAGATTCCATTGCATACCTGTGCCGATATTTGATTTATCAAAATATTTTGTTTTGGCTGTGTGCGTGTTGCGTTATTATTGAAGTTTAATTGTATGATCTAAATTTTGGAACCATTTTCTAGCGGCCTTTGTTTAAAGAGTAATGCTACCATATTATTTCTTATTCGGGCATGCATACAATATTGTAGGTATAAATTAGAAAATCATCTAATAATAACAAAGGACATTGGGCAAAAATATATGGACGCTGCACCCACGTCCGCCACGGCTTAAACTACATTTGTTTGAAAGGTATTATAGTCAAGATCATTTGTGCTAAAGCGCATCAAATTCCATCCCGGGGGTCTTTAGTTATTTTAAGTTAAATATGTACAAGTACTATAACGAACGAACATTAATGAAACAAGGGAATTATTTACTTAGTTAGTTCGACCCTACATAGGGTGCTCAGGAATTATAGGAGTACTTCACAAGGTGCAAGGGTGCCCCCTTATGTTAATTTGCCGCGCTAGAGTAAATCCAAAAATCCCCGCATGGGTTGGGTTTTTTTTAAACATTCTGTTCGTTAAAGTAAAATGTCTTCTATGTAAAACGGAGCGACCACAGATTACACAAACTTGTCCACGTTTGGGAGAGACATGAATCCTGTTCATCCATACATTTGACAAAACCGATAATCGTGTTCCAATATCCAAAGCGTGTTAGATAAAAATCAATCAAGTAGCAGGGAGCGCACAATCACAACGAAGTAAGACGAGTCGAATATTTGCAACTGCAAGTCCTTCATCATCCGTAAACCGTTTTGAAACGTCTCAGTAAGAGCAAGCGCGGGATAGTCGGCAGGCTTTGTCGTATATCTGGTTGTATTAGTTGGTTGGTTGGTTGTATATGGCATATTATTATGATTACTAATAATATATAATGAAGGTACTATAAAATGAATTTATTCAGCTACTTAAATATGCCCATGTGTCATATCTATTGACTACCAGGATATTTTTTACGGTGTCATATCTATTGACTACCAGGATATTTTTTACGGTGTCATATCTTTTGACTCCCAGGATATTTATTTTCGGTGTCATAATAAAAAAGGCTAGTTTTTCATAGATCTATCGATTCATACTAATTACATTGTTGGCGGAGCTGGGTGCGTTTTGCCCATTGTCCTTTTATTTGGTACTGTTTTTAGTGATACAAATAGTGGTATTGCTAGCTATTTTCTCATTTGTGCGGGTCACCCAGCGGAATACCCAGTTTTATCGCCGAATATAAAAATTGCTAGTCGAAATAATATTGATCTATTGTTTTTTTAATTTAATATATTACAATTAACAAACGTCTTAAATGAGCATTTACATTTCAGATCTCTTATATTTGAAGAAATCAATACAGGTCTTAAAACAGCTATTGATATCGTTACTGGTGTTGAAAAACCGAAAGTGTTCCCTATAAAAGCTAACCACAATTGCTTATCCTGGGTGCGCGCAGGAAGAAAAGAGCTTAGTCTCAAAAACGCTAGCAACTCTAAAGTCCATATCAAATGCCATGTGCTTGGCGATGGGTTCTCGATAGACTTGCCTGGTGCGGAGTCTAGAGGGACTTATTTGTTGCCGTTCGGACCCAACGAGTGTAGATTACTGCCTATAATGTTCAATCCGGCTACCAATAATCCATGTTCGGCCACATTGCACATGGTCTTCGATAAAAGCAGCGATGTTTCGAGAAAGGTATGTATGGTAACATCAATTAAAGTACTTTCGATGATTTCACTGTCCATTTAGTTTTTTAGGAACAAAAGGCTATCTTGAGACTGTCTTGGTACTTTGCTGCCTAGTATTTGTGTCTTTTCTATTTTTAAAGAAGCATAGCTAGTGGCGCTCACCCCTTCATTCTAAGGTCACCACGGTAAACCAGCGTCGGACAGTCTGTGACATTTGACTTGAGCTCATTGATCTGTTCTTTAAGTCATGTATAGTGCGATTCAAATAAGAATAGGAAAGCCAATGACCTCCATCTGTCAAATGTCGCTTGAAAAGTACAGTTTGCAAAAAAATCTTGAAACCCTTTTTTAGCACTCAGGTAATTCTAGAATAAAAACCAAACATACAATGTAAACAAACAATAAGAAATTTTGATAATTAATATTGGTTGTTTTTTTACATTTATTGAGCTTTGGCTATGAATGGTTGATAACCTAAATCGTCAACCAAATGTCACTAAGTTGCGCTCAGAAACTCGATTTAAAACTTACGTTTACATCAAGGATGCATGTTCGTATATGACCTAGTAATAGTGCATGATTATTCATAACTACTCTAGTCCGGCGGTAAAGCAGAGATTTTTTTCTCACACAGTCTTAATAAATAAATATATAATTTTTTTCGCATTCTTAGTAAACAAATTTTATTAAAAAAATCTGATGTCTTTTCTCACATAATTTTAGTAAATAAGTTTTATAAGATAAAATTTTTTTTGCTCACTACCTATTTGGTTTGAATTGACGTCACAATATGGCGCCCAGTCGGTCCTATTCTTAGTTGATTCGTATTATAGATGTTTGTCTGAGCCACACTACCGCCATAATACGAAAATATGCGTTATCGCGATGTTTCTTTTCATAAGTGACCTGTACACTTCATCGTAAATCTATTTCGAAGTTTTATCGTGATTGCAATTGTGCCGTAGCATTACAGTTAGATTATAATATAAAATGCATGTAACATTTGGGATTAATTATTCATGGCCTTGGCCCAATCCATCGTTTGGGAAAGCCTGTGCTCCTGTATTGGGGACATTAATTGGCTGATGATGATGATGCTATAATCTACGATGATTATATCGTTGCGACATCAGAGTATATATTCACTAATTATATGGAGCAAATAACACAGCATCGGTGTCCATTATGATGATTATATTATTAACAGACATACTAAATTCTATCCGCTATCTAAGTATGATTACTACCGATTGGCTAAAATCTCTGCATTACATTACAACAGAGAAACTTTTGGCTGTCATCTCGTGAAATGTACTTAACATCATACAAACATATTTTCACTTGTACATACATAAACAAACAGAGACACTTATACTACACAGTCTTATAAACACAATTAATCACTATAATAAACAACACAATACAAACAAGCACACACACACTCCCACACAAACACACTACCTTCTTTTGTTTTTGTTCTCCTATTAATGTTTTTGTATTTCACTTAAAAACTTATATGTATTTGATTTCCTTGTAGACGGTTCGGAAGTGAAGAGACTGGTAATCTGTAATACAGGTCTCCTAGTACAGACGCCAGTCTCTCACATAACTGGAAATAATATATGTATTTAATATTAAGGTTAAGTTAATGATGTATTGTTATTTGAGAGAAGAAATAAAGGAAAAATATTATTATTATTATCGTACACAGGTGAAGTTGTACGGTTGCGTCGGAGGAGACAACATTCGTTGGGCCAATTTGGTGACGTACGGTAACACGGCGTTGGTCCGCGCCGTCAGTAGGACTCCCATACAACTCAACCTGTACAACAAGTCACCTTTGCCCGCCTTCGTTTGTGCCCGGGTACACTTCAATCGTGAGTATATTTTGGTTTGTAATTAAAAATATCCCAGTATGTTATAAAATGAACTAGCTGTCCCAGCGAACTTCGTACCGCCATGAAAAAATAGGGGTTGGTGGTAGAAGGGTGAAAATTTAGGGTTGTATGTATTTTTGTATGATGTATCATAAAAAAATGTACCCCCGTGTCTCCCCCCTTAAATCTGCCCTTGGATGGGTGGTGTGCTCTTAGTGGGTCCGCGTAGTCGCCACGTGTGTACATTGCGCGTGGGTCATGGCCTTCCTTATGCCATTCATAGGGAAGGCTTGGCCCCAACAATGGGGTAATTAACCACCTTATTACAGAACGTAGACGAAAGTTACAAACTAAAACTAATACTGTCACTTTTGTTTGCTGAAAAGAAGGCAGAGACAACATAAGGGTTAAACCAAGACTAACTTTAGTCCGCCTCTTTGGAATAAGACAGTTAAAGTCCTATGGTGTTCTACAGTGCAATACATGTGCATGACGAGCACCGCGAAGCTATTTGGCGGTTCACACAATAGGCGAGCGTAGTCGCCACGCGTTCACGTTGCGCGTGGTCATGACCTTTCTTATGCTTTTATTACTTGTGCCCCAGTAGTATGATACGCAATGCTGTCCAGAAAATCTTAAAAAAAGTACTCTTTCCTTAAAGGCCGACAGCGCATTGTTGATATGCCTGGTGTAGCATTGGTGATCACTTAACACACTTATAATAATATATATATATATATATATATTTATAAAAAGTGAGGGGGGTATTAATAGTCCTATGATCTGCAGGGCAATACATGTGCGTGGCCAACACCCCGCACATATTGGGCGGTGTTCACTTAGTGAATCCGCGTAGTGCCACGCGCTCACGTTGCGTGTGGCCATGACTTTCCTTTTCCACCCATATAAAAGGTCACTGCTAAGTGGTTATATTGTATTGTTGACAGTGCAATACATGTGCGTGGCGAACACCGCGCAACTATCGGGCGGTGCGCACGTAGTAGGCCCGCGTAGTCGGCACGCGCTCGTATTACGCGTGGACTGGGCGCACGCTGAAAGATGCGCCCGCGTCGCACCCGCCGCCACGCCACTCGCCACGCTCACAGTGCTCACCGGCGGGGAGTATACACGTCGCAGGATCATGAGGTATATCACACAGGACCCACAACCTAGGGCGCCCTCATATTACGCATGGTCTGGGCGCACGCAGAAAGACGCGCTCGCGGCGCACTTGCCGCCACGCTCACACTGCTCACCGGCGGGGAGTATACACGCCGCAAGATCATGAGGTATACACATATCACACAGGACACGTAGTTTGGGGTGCGCTCATATTACGCGTAGACTGGACGCACACGGAAAGACGCGCCCGCGTCGCACCCGCTGTCACGCCGCTCGCCACGCTCAGTGCTCACGGGTGTATACACGAACTCGTGCCAATAAATAAACGAATCTCAAATGACTACGTGAGACATTCTATCCTTGTCGCTAATACTGCCTTAAGTAACGTGCGAGAGAGACAGAATGTCTTGCCTGCCTGTATTTTACAGCAGCACGAACTGCAGTACGCAACCTTTTTTTTCGGTCCAGATTAAAAAGTTTGCGTTCGCTTAATGGAACAGTGGTATCTTTTTGAAGCATTAAATTTTTCCCATTATAATTCCTTAGTAAATGATTCGTGCACTCAATTTTTTGAATCGCTACGTCAGGATAAGGACGACTCTCTAGAATACTTTTATATGTACTAGAATCTCCATCTGCAATTAAAGTTTTATATATTAAATTACGATCTGTAATAGATTTTTTAAAACCTTCTACCAAGATATGCTGCTCCATGCTTGTAGATGACCCCGAGTAGTTTTTTGTACATTTGTGACTTTTTACATTCTCGTTTTTGTTATTCGCTCGGGCACAAATCACGCAGTATTTGTTTCGAACTCCTATGTGTAGAACTTTGCCACTAAGCTCTCCGATAATTGCCGCGACACCAGAGAGAGCAGAATAATTATTCTTATATGAGCGTTTGCTCCAACAAGCATCCGCTTCTACAGCAATCATGGCAATTCCTGCGTTGTTTATATGACCCTGTGACTTTGCAAACTCTATTTCATGTTTTGCCGCATTTAGCATAGTTTCTTCGGCGGTTTTCTTCCACATATCGGAAACACTATCATGAAGAGTACTATATAAACGAAATGGCATCGTTGGTAAATCCATCGAGGATACAAGCTCGTTTAAGTTGGAAAGACCAATTCCGGTAATTATTGCGGACTTTGAGGCATCGTTTTTCAGAATCACAAGTATTCAGGACGAATCTCGATCCACACATTTCACATTTTACCACAAACTTAGATATGAAACCCACTTTCTTTTCATTTTCTATTTTAAGATAATTCATTTTGCAGTCAAACTTTACACTATGTTTACTTATGGCTATCAACTGATTCCAAAAATATTGGAATTCGATTACACGTCTTCCATCAACCATGTACTCCTCCTGAAAACAGATTATCTAATTGACTACAATACTACTTTTATCGACTATCTACGTATATAAACAGATATAGGCAATACTGGAAATACATTTCCAATCCAGACACAGATATGGTACGTAAATCAGCAAGTTACTGTCAATTGAACTTATGGAGCAAAGGAGTCTAAATATAAAATATTAAAAATAAACTTTTTTGCTCTAGAAATGCATCCCATTAGTTTAAGTTTAAACAAAAAACCAAACTGCTAACATTGTAAACTATGTACCTGGTGTAGTAGTGAAATACCCATTAAGTCAGTATAAAACAGATAAAATATTTACATTTGAGCTTGACGCTTCCCTTTGTTCCTCGGCTTCGATTTCCAATCCAACAGCATTTTTTTCCTATATAATTAAATTTATTATTATAATTTTAATTTCTCTTTTCATTGTCTACTTCCAATAACAACATGAAAAACTTACAGTTTCCGTTGCAATCGAATCCATTGAAGTTATGGTCGGTATAGTTTCATTATTTTCGGGGTAGCCATTAAAATTTTGTTTCCATCTAAAATAAATAGAACTGTGAATTTCTCTTCTAAATATATTATTATGTTGGGCCAATATTTACTTTGGCCGCCCACGAGTTTATACTTGTTATACTTGATCGAAATGCAAAATTTTACCATACTCTAGCTTTTTTTACAGACATAAGGGTAGATTGTAAGAAGCTTAAGTTTAAATCGGGGAATGTAGGGTGGTCACAACTGGCCGCTTTATTGGAAAACGCGTTTATAGCTATATCTCCTAAATTATTGACTGTACGGAAAAAATGTAGAGTGCTTTTTTGTTTATTACTAAATTCTCTAACTTCTCTCTCTAAAACTTTATATTGTAACTATTACCTTTTTTCAATTGTTGTTGTTTATTTGAACATGTTTGTAGTTTTTCCTTTATAAAACCTTAAAAATGTCAGTAATTGATAAAAACGTCGTATACAAGTTATTCGTGATTAAATTCCCTACAAGTTTTGTATATTTTTTTTATTAAATAAATACTTTTGAAGTTAATAGTCGTTAATGTGCGCAAAAACGGGCAGTGAATTAAAGTTACAGAAGTATCCGAAAAATTCACTTATTTTCATACAAATTGAAGCTGATGGTGATTTGTGTTGGATTGTTATCAATTAATTGTAATAAAAAAAAATAGGGGAAACAATATAAATATTACAAATAATATTAGTGATGAGAATCAATTGCACGTACACAAAACTCTGATATACTGCGTTATTGCTACGTTAACGACTCATAACCCTAAAAGAAAAAATTAATAAAAAAAAGATTTATGCAAAAGTTGTAGGAAATTTAATGATGAATAACTTTCATAACATGTTTTTTATCAATTAATGGCATTTTAAAGGTTTTATAAAGGAAAAACTACAACTACAAATTTAAATAAACAACAATAATTAAAAAACGGTAAGAGGTACAAAAAAAGTTTAAAACAAAAAAGTTAGGAAATTTAGTAATTAACAAAAAAGGCCAGTACTATTTTTCCCTTAAAGTCAAGTTTTGGCCGAAAGGGGGGTCCCCCCACCCCCAAGCCCGTAAAATCGTTGGCTATTAGAGTAAAGTACCTTGACTAATTACAATTTTATACCGATGATACTTGAAAAGTCCGGACAAATCACCATTTTTATACAATCAAAACACCCACGGAAACCACACAAATAAAAAGCGAAATGTTATAAACATATTCACCTTTCTTCACAAGCTTTCTTTATGGCTGCATCATTCTTTCGTTTTCTTTTTTTGACACAATGGTTAGCTGGAATTTTACGCCCCATTGTAAAAGCTAATAACAAAAATATTAGTTGAAGCAACGATTATTAATAACTAGGTAGGTACTAATAATAATAAAAATTAGTACGGTTGTGGAAACTTACATACAGTCAACGATTAAAGTTTTGCGGTCGTAGTATATCCACCCAGTTTTACGATGAATGCGCTCGTAGCTATATTGCGATTCAAATAAGAATAGGAAAGCCAATGACCTCCATCTGTCAAATGTCGCTTGAAAAGTATGGCTTGCAAAAAAATCTTGGAACCCTTTTTTGGCACTCAGCTAATTATGGAAAAAAACCAAACATTTGTAAACAAACAATAACAAATATTGTTAATTAATATTATTTGATATTTTATTTTCATTTATTGAGCTTTGGCTATGAATGTTTGATAACCTAAATCGTCAACCAAATGTCACTTTAAGTTGCGTTCAGAAACTCGATTTAAAACTGTGGTTTACATATAGAATGCATGTTCGTATGTGACCTAGTAATAGTGCATGATTATTCATAACTACTCTGGCGGTAATGCCGAGATGAGCGGAATTGAAGAGCTTAATTCTGATTAATGTTTTTTCTCGCACAGTCTTAATAAGTAAATATTATTAAAAATCGGTTATTTGCTTTTCTCAATTTTAGTAAATAAATTTTATTAAAAAATCGGATGTTTTTTTCTCACTTAATCTTAGTAAATAACTTTTATTAAATAAAAACTTTTTTGCTCACTCTACCTTTTTCGTTTGTAATGACAGCTATGACGTCACAATATGGCGCCCCGTTGATCCTATACTTAGTTGAATCGCATTATACGCTCGGGACGCGTGCGGTACAAAGCAACACAGGCCCGACCTCCAAAGGCGCTGGCGCCGTACTGAACGGCGCCTAGATTTGCACTAGTATATATTGCATTTTACGGGTGATGTTCAGAGTCTTATAAAATAATAATTAATGAACTTATTATAAAAATATATACATATTTCAGACGAGGCGCTCAAAAATTGCGATTGCAAAAAATGTGAAAGGGCTCTTAAGCAGAAAAAATATCTTTTACTTCTTTATAAATACGTTTAGTCTCTTTGTGAGGAAGATTTTTCGATATCGGTCTCTGTAGGAGCCTCGGGCATAGTTCATATATTTTACTTACAAAATCAGTTTTTGTAGAAACATGAATGAAAATGAATCAAGTCATGTATATACATCACGTGAACAAGTTCTGTTATTCGATATATTACAGCTATTCCATCTCTTCTAGGATCTTGAAAGATGAGTCTTCTGGGGAAGTGGATAATTCTCACCTGCCAGACCATCTTAAAGTAGTGACATCCAAATTGGAAGGTGAAGATATGAGCTTAGACGATCGCTTGGCTGACTTCAAGGAGACAAAAGTAAGTCAATGGGTCCTATGTATAAGGGCTAAAGTGCAAAATCATGACTTTTCAGGAGAGGCTGTTGAAGTTTCAAAATTATATCTCTTATCTATTAGACAAGTCCGTCCGTCCGTCTGTGGTGCTGTTTCAGCGGCCAAACCGTAAGAGATAGATAAAGAGAATATTTAAGTTATAAGTTAAGAATAGTCTGATAAGACTACCAACCGGATTTGAGTAACGTAGCACTTCCGGTTTTCGACAAATCACGTATTTCAAACGAAACCACACAAAATCTCCGAAGTTCTCAATTAATTAAATACATTTTTTTTTAAATCAGGTTTTGGTGAACATTTGGTTCACTGGTTTGCTAGTATCTTTATAACTACTAATCTGTAGTTTATGAAACTTTGCATGTGTGTTATAATAACTATACTCTTCGTGAATGTTTCAGAGCATATTCTAAATATATTTTTATTTTGATTTTATTGCTCATTCGCCGTTATTCGTTATTTTTTTATATTTTTAGTTATCCAAAAAAACTAGTAAAAAGGCTAAAGTATTATTTTGGTCGATTGACGTAGTGCATTCTTACAATAAAAATTAGTGCTTAAATTTTTATTTTTACTATTAGAATATAACATCACCCAAGTAACATTAATAAATAACCCAAAATAACATTAACCATGTAAGTACTTTAAGCAATAAGTCATATTGACCCTTTTACGTTTAATTTCATGCTTTTTATTTATTCGATAGGAATAAGAACTTGCAGTTAGGTTTAAAAAAATGTCAAACAAATCACAAATTAAACCACTAAATTAAATTTCTTCAAAAGTAAATAAATGCTAACATTGCTGCTAGCCAAAAGTGAACAAAAATTAATGATTATTTTAGATAATTTTTAAGAACAATTGCTCAAATCACAGACTTTTATTTGTACCTACTTTATTATAACTATAATCAAAATATAATATTATATTTAAGTACTTTAAAAGTTGCGGCATTTAATATTTTATAAAAAAATAAAATATTGAATTTTATCACTAATTGTCATCATCATCACTCGCATACATTGAAATGTTATTGTGGTGGAATAATATTCTTACGGCTTATGTCAATGAAGTCTTTCTTTTTGGATGGATGTAATGATATTGGCTGGTTGTAACTTAAAATATGTAAAGATTGCTTTCAATGGAATTTTCAGACAGGTCCAGTTTATAAAATAAAATTTTCATCTTTACAAAGACTCTCCTATTGAGTTTTTAGTCCCATTTTAGGAAAAATGCAAACCTGGGATGTTTGAAGTTATAAATAATTTTTAATTGTATTAATAAGCTCCATTCAGATGGTGTGAAGATATTATTACATTTTGATGCACATTCAAATGTAGCATGATTTTGGATGTGTCCTTTCTCAATAAAATGTAACTAATATAAAGCTGTTTAAAACAACACAAAAAGCATTATTCTGATTCTATTTTGGCCAGCAAATTGTCTGACCACAATAAAAACTAGTCATCAATCCTTTAATTTTAAGTATCATAAACAGCTAGCAATTTTGTAAGATCCTTTCAAAGCTATTTGTTGGTTCCAAAATCAGCAAAAGCTAACCAAGTTTCTATCATCAAAGACTGACATATTATTCACTGTTTCTTAGGTTTTCACGCACGTCACCCATTAAATAAAACTAGTTTTTCACGGGTTAATGCACGAAACTTTATTTATTTATTGACGTTTCGCAGCCTTTACAGCCAAATAAAAATTATTCCGACGACGCAGCCTGTAAAAGCTGCGAAACATCAATAAATAAATAAAGTTTCGTGCATTAACCCGTGAAAAACTAGTTTTATATTATTCACTTCTAATCGCTTACACTAATGTCACTACCAGGTTCACACGAAAAGATTTAAATTGATTATTTTTAATGTTAAATTACTTTTCTTCAATTATTTTGCTTCAATTTGATTGAAAGTTTGTTCAATAGTTCAGACAGTTCAAATCGCATGCGATGTAACAGTTGATCAACTAAAATCGTGTCGTGTGAACCCGGTATTACTGACAGATTGGCCGATAATTCAAATTAAATTTCGGTAACTCCCGGTGTATAAGTCTCGGACTACCGTTTAGGCCCTTATACGTTTAAAAGTGTGACACAATGGCCCTTTTACTGCATCAAAAAACGTGTTTGTAGCAATAAATTTGGAGTTTTTTTCAATGATTATCATTTATTACATTAAAAGTTATAAAAAAAAAGTTGGATAAAATAATAATAATAATAACCTTTATTTCTCACCATAATCACAATGTTCACAATGTTGGTATTAATGGCTACATAAAAACAATGATATAAAAAGCATGCATTTTTTTTTACCAAAAATAAAAGGTACGTATTGATCAGATTATGGTGGGTTGACACCTGAACTAGGATGAATCCTGTGTCTCAGGTAAAACAACATTAAAAGAGAGCATTTACCACCAAAAAGCCAAAATGAACAAAATGCTACTTTGCCCCTTATACATAGGACCCATCGAAGTATAGAATATTTAGAACTCTACTTTTAGAAATATTCAAATATAAAAAGAAAATCAATGGTTTATAATAATCATTATATACCTATCAATTATATTAGACAACTCATTCATCGACCCAAACTAAGAATATATTTTAGTATAGAAACTAATAACAACTATGACTTCTAGCTGGATTCAAAGCCAGGACAGTAAGCCTATTTGCTAACTACTTTTGACAGATGCAAGTGATAATCACAGAGCTATTTAGTGAATTACCTCCTCTAGCATGACCACCGAAACGGGGTATGATAGCGCGATATGTCGCGCGGGGTATATATCGCTTTATCATAATTATCCCGTTTCGGTGGTCATGCTAGAGGGGCGGGCACTACTGCTTTGCTATAGCGCCATTAAGATACTTGTTCTGAAAAGTATCGATGGATATGCAATTTTCTGTAAATGTCAAAAAAGTTAGCGAATAGGCCGGAAGAACCTTTGTAGCAGACTGCATGAGTCAAAAATTACTTTTATCGTTTAATTTGTTTCTTTAAATTAAACAATAGTGCTACTATAAGTAATGTTGGCAAAAATTTTGTACCAGATTAATTTAGTCTGAAAAAAATTGTAACAAGGTATTATCTTTATTATTTCAGGCATCTTTGAACGAACTTATTGGAGGATTGCAAGAATTTACGGCACAGATCGATATACCTCAAGATTTCACCGATGAAAATACGATCATTATAACTGATGATACTGTGATAGAACATCACACACTTTGTGATCAGTGATATTAAAAGTATATTATTTTAGTGGTAACTACTTAAGTATTCATTTAAGACTTTAGTTTTAATAGAAATATATTTTGTAATGAAGTGAAAATGTTAAAGTAATACTTGTATGTAATCCTCAATACATCAGAAAATAATGAAAGGCTGGACCAAATAGGATTAATACAAAAATTATTTAAACTCCGTCCTTAATTTATGTATAAATCTAATGTGTCGAAATAAAATGCATTTTTTTATTCATATTATTTATTATTTTCTTAACCAGTTATATTTATTCCAATCGTTTTTCCTATTTTTTTTTAAATCATGTTATCTAAGAGATTCGACTGTCGATCGCAGTGATCCATTAGAAATGACCTTTTAAAAATATTGCCTACAACTTATAAAACTAAAATGCATTTCCACTTATAATAAAGTCATTAAACACCGCAAAATGATATTTCATATATTTATATACAGGACTAAATTTGACGGTTCATAGAATTCAAATGGTTACTTTTGCTAATATCTCAATCTTTTACATTACACCCCTGTGCGTTTGGATATAGAGAGAAATGCGGGAGACGAAACTTTAGAAACAAAACCAAAACAATCGGGTATTCTAAAAACGACAGTGTTGGTCCTTTTGGAGGGGTTTAACGTAAAAGACCGCGTCAACGGTACATCGAGCTTGGTGTATTTTTATATTATCATGATTACATCTTTTACACATTGAAAATATCCTTCTATCGCACGTCAACATTCATACGACACGCGTACACGCATACATCGCCTCTCGCTCGCACACTCCATTCCACACATCCATACGTCGCATTTGGCAGTATATCATAGTCATTTTCGCTATATCAATATTCAAATCATACATCACATTATGCGCGGTACAAAATAATATGAACTCTTGCAATTTTACACAACCCAAATTACTATGTGACAACTATAAAATATTAAGGCGAATGATACCATTTGAATATTGACACATTACAAAAGTGAGCTCCACATGGGATGTCTACTTTGCCGTACAATCTACATTATGAAAAAATCTTATTAAAATGGAAGTACTTACACATCATTATAAGGTTACAATAATAACTAATTTGGGTCAAAAATGGCTGACGTTTCAATTAGTACTCGTGCTTTTGAAAATACTAATTTCATAATTTATTGCATTATACCTATAAGTCTAAAATTCGCAAAAGAAGACGTAACGAGAGAAGAGATGAATTCGCGATATACCAATCTAAATACACTAGGGTTCAGAAAATGTACAGCTAAAATAATCCCTGGGTGACACGTTCACTTCATGCGGATACAGTACGTATAGTCGTAGATAATATATATACATTACACACTCACACGTTTTTACAATAGGAATTAGGATTCTAACTAAAAAAAAAATAAACCAGTCACTTAATGAGCTATAAAATAGTATTCATGTAAGATTGCCAACGATACACTGGCCTAGTGTGGACCGGCACGGTCCGCGTAATGCTATTGTTGTAAGAACAATCACATTCTAACGTTATTAGTAATCGCCGAGGCTCGTGAGTTACATATTATGTATAACACGCTGTTGTTCATTCTAAATTATTTCTTAACAAGTAAAATGCGCATCGCTGTGTTAACTGACTAGTTAAAACAGGGAACGCATTTTAAAGAGATCAATATGGCTTGATATAAAACACGTGCGGTTTGCATTAGAGCTGAACAAATGTTAACATAAAACAGTTTTTTAATACAGCAATCGATCGACACTAACATATCGTAATCATCGTGTATGAATCGTCCATAGATTTGATTCAATCGGTAACAGTATTAGTACGTACCCCATTTCGCCCGTCACTAATCTCCACCCCACTAGAAACATTTGAATGCGTCACATCGACATTCTAATGTAAAAAAAGAGATTAAGATTTGTATTTATATGTATACGACTGCAGGACTTGTATCCATGGTCATGAATAATTAAAAAAAAACCACTACACTTAACATCACTACAATACAGTCGACAAACCATCAAGTTACCGGTCACAGATTTTCAATCAGTTGTGAATCTTCTATCATGTATGATAAAGCTCAAAGTTAGTTGAATAAACCTTTTTGGGTAACTTGACCTTTGCCGACTGTATCACAGAATAAAAAAATTCCAACATCGCCGATAATGAATTTTGGTTAATGTAAGGACTATCACAGATAATATTAAAAATTATATAAACAACAGGTAGTATCCATTCAAGTCGGAATCATTGGAGTTTTTAAAAACATAATTACAAATTAAAATAAATGCGGACACCAATTAGTAAAATGTTGGTGCTCGTTTGGAAGTTATTGGCTTGCGGGAAGTATAGTTTATAAATAGTGTCCCGTTAATTTAAACTTTTCTTCATTTGTGCAAGTATTTTCGATAGACGTTTTGGGAAATATTAGGGGCACAAAGGCCCCTGGGTATATTATTTACATTTTTTTCAGAATCTATCATAGCTTATCATGATTTTGTTGATCATACACAGCCACATCTTCATATCCACATTCTTGTAATATTCAAGGCAAATCGACATGATTTTTATATAACTTTGATAAAGGTCAACACTTAATTCATGAGTCATAGTTAAAGAGTCTATCGTACATTTCCATAATAATATATCGTTTTGTCAAAGCATATAAAACTGTGTATTTACTTTGTGTAAGTATGTATAATGTTTTCGTCGATAGGATTACTTATTTATACTTAAAGCTTACTTGAAAATTATCCATTGTGTATATCAATCAATACGATTTTGTAGTATACAGTTTTATAGAATATTCATTGCATTAGGTTATCTGAAATTGTCAATATATACTTTTACGCTTTGGACGTAGTTTTAAATAAACTAAATACTCTTTAATAGGTACTTTTTTCAATTTGATTTTGTGCTGGCATTCAATCTCGCATACAATTTAATTCTTTTTGTATTAATAATTCATTATTATGATATTTTCTAATAAGAAAGCGATACAATGAGTACCTGAATCGATTACAATTTATACACTTCCATCAAATTCCAAGTTACTTTTTACAGCTTTCATATGAAAAACATTACAAAATGCTAAGGCCCTAATAAGGCCAGATATAGTCAAAATTTAATTGCGCACGAAAACTAAAATTCTTATCAATAAATAAAACCTATCTTTTATCGTCAGGATACCGATACAAAATTACTATTGTTACATTGCGTCATTCGTTTTATGTGCTCTAGTGATGATCCTTATTCACTAAGGGACAAAGTTTTTTTTTTAATATTTAGGCTTACGTCAGAATAACACAAAGTTTGCCGTCTATGATGGCTTTTACATCAGATCAGGTCCGGTACAATCGGCTTCAAACCAAAATTAACAGAGCAGAAGCCAACACAATGGTTACGTTGCTGCTCGCGCGTCGCCCGCGGACGTTAATATGAGGTGAGGAGCGGAATGTGTATGGCGTCTTTCTAAAAATCTATTCTGAAACGACGTGGTCTCGAAATAAGGAACCGCCGAAATAAAGGTAGTCATGCGGAATTTAGGTGCGCTCGGGGTTTCATTGAACTAAAACCTGCGCATAGTAGTACTCGCGCACGTTGCTAACTTCGCAACCGCCATTAACTTTGAATCGGACTATACGTCACATAACACGACGCAGGCTACGTAGGCTCGCAGTGACGCAACTAAAGTGGAGTACAACGGGTCGAAGGCGGCACTAGTTCGCGCTGGGGCGCTAGGGCGCGCGATACAGCAGGTAGGCGGTGAGAGCGGGGGGAGCGCGAGGTACGCGGCTAGTTTACAGTACAGTGCGGCTGAGGCGGAGATTATCCGCGGGCGGGGCGTCTAGTGCGGGGTGGAGATGGCCCAAGTTAGCGATTGTGTTGTGGAACTAAAGTTGGGTACGTCGGGGCTCGGAGGCGGCACTAGTCCGCTCGCTGTTGCTAGGGCGTGCGGTACAGCAGGTAGGTGGTGAGCGCGAGGTACGCGGCTAGTTTACAGTACAGTGCGGCTGGGACGGAGATAATCCGCGGGCGGGGCGGGGCGCCTAGTGCGGGCGGGGTGGAGGCGGCCCGAGTTAGCGATTGTGTTGTGGAGCTCGCGGTGACGCAACTAAAGTGGAGTACGTCGGGGCTCGGAGGCGGCACTAGTTCGCACGTTGTTGCTAGGGCGCGCGGTAGAGTAGGTAGGCGGTGAGCGCTGGGGGGAGGGCGAGGCGCGCGGCGGCGTGGCGCAGGCGCACGCGCCCCACGCGCTGCCGGATCACGCGCCGGCACAACTCCATCAGGGGCAGGGGCTCCGCTGAGGAAAATAGAGATAAACGTCGTTACTTGACACAGTAATAACATCTAAATATAATCTATTACTTATATAAAATTCTCGTGTCACGGTGTGCGTAATTGAACTACTCCGAAACGGCTCGACCGATTTTCGTGTAATTAAATATGCATATTCAGTAGGTTTGAGAATTGGACAACATCTATTTTTCATCCCCCTCTTAACATTTATTGTGGGCAATATTTTTTGTACCCTAAATTTTCACCTTTCTACCACTAATCCCTATTTTTTATGGAGGTGCGAAGTTCGCTGGGACGCTAGTTATAAATAAATATTTCCAACACCCACACCACCTTCTTTATTCCCAGTCGCCCCCGCGGGGTTTGCTACCGGGGGCTGATGGGAATAAAAAACTGAAATGGGGGAAATAACTTTATTGCCTTTTGCCTCTGGTAATGATCAAATGGTAATCACTGTGGGGACGACTAAGAGTAAAGGCCCCGCAGGGAATAAAAAAATGAAAAGCTGGCAATGACTTCATACCCGTTTGCTAAAATGCCTTCTAATAAAAAAATGTACAAAGACGGGATGTTATGTGACATTTCTAATCAATGTATCTCGTTACATTTTGAAAATGTATGTGCCTCGTCTAGTCCATATTCAATACGACTAAACAAACACTTGAGGTCCAACCCGCCTATATACTTCATGGTGATTTCCGCGTACCTCCACACGGCAGACACTATGGGGTACAGCGTCTTGCCGCGTAGTCCTCTCGCCGCGACTCCCAAGTATCGGCCGTCCGCGCAGAACGTGCCTCGTCCATATTCAATACGACTAAACAAACACTCACGGTCCAGCCAGCCTATATACTTATGGTGATCTCCGCATGCCCCCACACGGGGGACACTATGGGGTACAACGTCTTGCCGCGTAGTCCTCTCGCCGCCGCTCCCAAGGAGCGGCCGTCCGAGCAGAACGCTAGCGTGCCTTCGTCCATATCTAGTACGACTAGCACCCGGTTGGGCACTAGGAACTGTTCGTCGGGCCGCAGTAAAGTCCATATTCAATACGGCTAAACAGGCACTCACGGTCCAGTCCGCCTATATACTTCATAATGATCTCCGCGTGGACCTACACGGCGGACACTATGGGGTACAGCGTCTTGCCGCGTAGTACTCTCGCCGCTCTTCCCAAGTAGCGGCCGTCCGCGCAGAACGTGCCTCGTCCATATTCAATACGACTAAACAAACACTCACGGTCCAGCCCGCCTATATACTTCATGGTGATCTCCGCATGCCCCCACACGGCGGACACTATGGGGTACAGCGTCTTGCCGCGTAGTCCTCTCGCCGCCACTCCCAAATATCGGCCGTCTGCGCAGAAGGCTAGCGTGCCTTCGTCCATATCCAGTACGACTAGCACCCGGTCGGGCACTAAGAACTGTTCGTCGGGCCGCAGTAAAGAGGGGTACGTCGCGCCGTTGCCGCCCGTGCCCTTCGCGTTGTGGTACACCTGTAAAAAAAAAGTTCATATGTCAACAAAAATTTAAACTATCGCAAATAGCTATCTAATCTGACTTGAATATTTATTTATATATCGGAGTAAATCCGTGTGTATAAAAATTGTATATGTTTGTTTTATCCTAGTGAAAACTGTATATTGTTTTAAAACTTCCATGGTCACTAACATTATAGTGATATAAGTTATTTACGGGATTGTTACCAATAACAGCCTACCCGCATTTACTTCAGTTACTACGTGATCATGGCGCTTGCAACAGTGCCGAAATATCGGAAACTCTAAAAACAAGGTGCATGGTAACAATCCCGTAAATAACTTATATCACTATAGTAAAAACTGTGTTTATCCGTTTGTATAAATTGTTTAATAATATGTTTGTTTTGTACTCGGGAAAACTGTTTAATAGAATGCTTATCAATACTACACCATTTTGTTTTGTCATATGTAATAACATGCAGTTTGTTTTCCATGAATAAATAAATTAATATATTTTACAGACAAGGGTGTATTTAAGAGAACATAAGGACAACATGTTCAACTCAGCATGTTTCGCAATGGTCGGTCATTGGATGGGGGACCAAAAACTTATTATCTCGAGCTTCTGCGTGCTTAGGAAGGCACGTTTAGTTGTTGGTTCCGACTACATCTGCAGTCGTTAGCAGCACCCACTAATCAGCAGTTGTCAATTTTAGCTACTAATTCTTCGTGTCTGGCTTAGAAAGGGTCAAACATGGTGTCCAGAAACAACAGTCTTAGGTAGCCAGCCATTCTCTAAATATAGTTGCTATCACTGCCTATCTTTATGCACGGGAAAGTTGATAGTTGGCGCAATGTTTTTCTTCATTCACTTACTTATTTACTCATTGCGAGTTCCAATATTCATATCTTTAATTTTTATATTAAATCAAGTTAATATTGTAATCAACTTAGGTTTAAAGTTTTACGCCTGACTATCTTATCTAATCCATTAATCTCTGTCAGACAAGCTATTGAATAATTAAGATATTTATGCTGAATCTTAAATAAACTATTCATCATCTTTATGTGAAAATCATGTTAATGTGGTTTGAGCAAATAATGTAGTTTGATGGTAATGCATAAGAAAAAGAATGTCATGCATATTAAGAAACATCCCTAATTTCTTTAATAGCGAGTTAATAATTATAACTCTTACTTTACTAGTGACGACACCTCTTTATAAGGTTTCGTGCTTCTGTACACAATTCTTGGTAATTGGATTAACTTGAAGAGTTAAGTTACATTTAAGTTTGTTTAATTGGTGATAAAATTGCGTAAACATTAGTCATTCGCTTTCCTTGTTCAATTTTGGATTAATCTAATTGGATAAGGCGAAACAATAACACGATTACTTATTTAATCGCTCGTTGGTGGTTATTTAGGGCTATAATATTAGATAACTTCTTTAAAAACAATATGTTAACAATGCTATCGTAAATATAGAGCACGACACTAACCTAATTTTTGCCTAAGCCTTATGCCAAGCCATAATTAAAACTATACTCAAGTACTAACAACTTTATGGACATAAAGCGCTCAATAGAGCCACCACAAATTTAATTGACTATTCGAACAACCGATTTAAGAGAGGTAGACCATAGCGGATTAAACGCTCGAATTGGCGCGCCCGTCTGGGGAAGCAACCTCCATCTTACAAAAGATCACAGTAAAACAACACTACCTTTAGGTAGTGCTGTGTTTTTGCTGGTGATTAGGGTTCCAGTGCTCCGCGGGGTAGAGAATTGGGTTTATCACCTTGTTTGGGCCAGCAAGGTGATGATGGCTAGAGCGGCACACTTTCTGCCGCATCATCTATATTCGCGACATCACTTACACTTAACATGAGGTGGGAAGGAGTAATTAGTTGCGCCTCGCATGAAAAAAATAGACTAAACTACGTTAATAGTTTTTTGTATGAAAATGGAGACCAACCTTATTTCTGCCCAAGTCCCATCCCCAGCTCTGATCCGTCGCGCCTACTAAGCTCTGGTAGCCGACGGAGTGTAAGGGCGCGTGCGCCGTCGCGACTCCCACTACTGCGTGGGTGCCCCGCTGTCTCGCAGGCCAAACCACCTCCCAGCAGTGGAGCCCCCGCGAGTAGCCGACCCGCCCTCTGATGCAGTCTGTGCTCTGTGCCACAGGATGCCGATGAAACGTCAACGCATCCTCTTCTTTAACGAATATATTTAGTGATCTGAAATGAAATGAAATATTCTTTATTGCCACAAATTAAAGATGCAGTAACATAAAAAACCAGAACAAGGCAAAAAATAAACGGTAATAAAATAAACGACTAATGACTTAAGAATTAAGGTTTTTTTGCCATGACCTGGGTGGTAAGGTAAGGATATAATATGGCAATGGGCCCCAGTCTCAGCAAAAAAGCTGGGGTTAGCCCAGCGCTGGTTTTCAGATTGACTCCCAAGAATGCCAAGAATACCTTTATTAATCACAAAGCATTAAGACATTAAGATAAAATTTACGTTTTGCCATATATTTTGTTATATATTTTCTCATGTGAGAAATATCTTACTGGTCAAGAAGTGGTAAAACTTCAATATATATGAGCATAATTTACTTTGAGGGATTGTTTGGGTAATAAAACAACATTACTACTTCAGCAAGTCAAGCAATCTAGGGTGCAATTTGACATTATATATACCTCCGGGTTCGAATCCCGGTGGGGGCAGCTGTTTGTGTGATGCACACGAGCATTTGTACTCCAGTTATGGATGTTTAATATGTATTTCTATAAAAATATCCTTATATATGTAATGTATATGTATTCTACCCGTTACGCCTTACAGTGCTTACTTTGCGCTAGGCTAATTGGTGTGAGTGTTGGAAATATTTATTTATTATTAACCTACCCGCTTTGAGAGCGGAATCGATGTGCCTGGCTAAGTAAGTACGCATGATATTAAGACATTTGATATATGCCGAGAGGAATGTTATACTGAATAATGCAAACAGTTTTTATCAAAGTATTTGAATTTGAGATTTATTTTCAGGCCTGTGCTCGTGGATGTCAACGGCCGTCCGTCCGACAATAACATCTGTCGACATCTTTTCCGGTGGAGGAATTCGATTGAGTCATTCGAAGTAGTTGCGAACGCGGTAGTCATTGTGTAGCTGATGGGGCAATTAGAGGCTTCTGTAACAACCGTTTAAAGTGTAGCCTTTGTAATTCTCCCAGTAATGGATAAAGAGAAGATAATGATCGATCGCCGTGTTGTTTTTATTGAAGGTTTCGTAAAAACCGATAATATAATTAACAGCATAAATGCTGATTATGATTATTGTTACTTTGATAAAAGTATCTAGATAACTATATTTGAATGGTTCTTCACCTCATTTTAATGCAAGGTTTCAATATTTGCGAGTTCTTTATGAAATTCCTGTTGCCAGCCTTTGCTCAACTTCCTTATCTATCCTAAGGAAAATTAGTGACTTTATTAAAAAATACTACAAAATTTAATTATTTTATTTAGGTGCACTTTTTGTAGCGTAGAGGATGCTTGACTATGTGGCCGCATATATCGCTTAAGCTGAGAGACCTAAGCACGAATTTTGACAGCTCCGTAATCGTATCGTCATCGTCAAATTTTGTATGGAAGGAGCCAGTTAATTCTTATATCCGGTAGAGGCTTTGTTTTCATAGAGACTTTGACGATGCGATACGATTTCGGAGCTGTCAACATTCGTGCTTGGGCCCTAGGGGCGTGGCAACAAAATCTCATCTTTCGTCTGGGTTCCACGCATGCTTGAGCTGTTGCTTTGGGAGCAGGTTCTGTAGCATAAAAAATGCTTGACCATGTGGCCGCATGAATCTCTTAATCTCAGGGAGTGTTACAAGAAAATCTTACCTGTCGTCTGGGTTCCACGCATGCTTGAGCTGTTGCTCCGGGTGCGCCGGCGGCGCGTCCAATAGCGCGTCAAGGCGCGCGGGCCTGGGCGGCTCGGGCGCCAGCTCGCGGGCGACTACCGCCTTGAACGGCGCCGTGCAGTCGCGCGACACCGACTTGACTCCACCGGAGAGCTTTTGCCCCATGTTCATGCCCCTGCAGCGAGTGCGGGCGCGCTTCGGCAGCGCCTTGAGGCCGCTGCGCCGCGCCTCCTCTGCGCCGCCGCCGCCGCCGCCCCCGCCCCTCACTGAGCGCACCCCGCTCTTGTACCTGAAAACGAAACAAACAACAGTTAATTTGATGTTCCACAATGGCCAGAGGCCCAAGCAGAAATATTTGACAGTTCCGACAGCAGCTTTCTATGTAAACTAAGCAGCGGACGGAAGAAGAAATTAGCTTTTTCCATACAGAATTTGTCGATGACGATACGTTACAGAGCTGTCGAAAATTAGTACTTGGGCCTAGAATGGGTGGGGTGGTAATGGTGACATATTACAGTACACATTTATATATATGGATAAATTAATGATATTTGGTATTGTATATTTTTACGTTGTCTTATATACAAACAAATACGAGTCAAGTCACCGAAAATAAACGAGTAGGTCCATTCCTCACCTCGAGGATATCTAGTGGTATTAGGATGCAATGCGTGAGGGTTCAAGTAAATCATTTCTGGGCTAGTCTCTCCTTACTCAAGATATGATACTTGTAGTACCAAAGCCACATGTGTTAAAAGAGGATATCGAACTTAGACATTAGGATTAAGTGTTTGGATATATAGATTATTTTGAAAAAGGGAAGGTGATTTCTTGCACTCAGAAGTTCAGAAATTGCTTTGTTTCTATCTCAAACCACAATACAAATAATAGTGTAAAATATAGATGGTATAATCCGCATATAATTTATTGTTCTGGACGGAAGCCGGGTTTTGCATTCACTCATTTAAATAATATTTCCTTAATCTTAACATGAATGTATTGATAGTCAAATGTGAGTGGTTAAAACCTAAAATTCCTAAAAAATTTAAAGTTTAATCGACAAATGTGATTGTTCAAATAATGAACTTTTTTCTTTTTTTTTCATTCGAAAGCCTTATTAACGTGGTATGGAAACAATCAAAATAAAAATTATAAGAACATTTTAAACAATTGAAGGCCATGTCCAGGTTAAGCACCTCATGTTTAGTAACCACTTGGCCTTGAAAATAAACTGCCTTAGCAAACTCTAAGTAACAATGTTTTTTTCCATGCGCAGCGGCACTGGCGTCGGCAAATCAGCAATATGTTCAATTAAATTGTACATACACTCAAACATAATAAGTATTGAAAGGTCATCAACAGTCAGGAGTCCATGATAGCAATTACGTGATCGGCTTGTAATTATTATTTAATTCTATTGTGGAAATCGATGGAACCGGTTTGGACGTTAGTGAGTGGCACGCGTGTCGTCATAGCAGATGCTTGGGCGTCGGAGTAGCGCGCATCTTATGTAACCAGCGCCCGTCTAACCGTGAAAGTCACCGCTCAAAAGCCAAGGTTAACACGGCCCTGGAGCCTCGTTCAAACACATGCGAATGTTCTGTGACCGATGCCTTAATTGCTATTTATTTATATCCTTGACCATGATATATCATGTAATTGCAAGGCAAATCTTCGTGAATACGAATTTATTTCTATTTTCATTGGTTCATTTCAACTTTCAAATAAAATTGTGGACGACTCAATTAAAATAGGTTGTTACGTGTTTCTGGAAGGAAACGGTGGTTTGAGCATTTATTGAGCAAGGGATTCATGTCATTTGGTTTGGGCTTTGCGGTTTTAGCGGTTAGGTTGCGTATGTCATCACTGATGAGAAGGGACGCCCAGAAGGCATGCGAGCTACAAGGCCGTCTGCCTTTCCGTCCGTTGCCTAGAGTGGCTCCACGACAAAAGCGGGAAGTGAAAGGCAGTGAATGTGTTCCCTCCCGTGTCGCGTCGGCGCGCACACCAACATCATTGTTTAAAAGCTATATTCCTAGAATGGCGGCCGCTTGACACGTTTGATAAACTGAACTTGAAATGACTGTCTATACTTATGTTGTAGCCTGTCTGACAAACATGGCATCAGATCTGTGCAGAACGGCATATTGCAAAGATCTTTGTTTCTTGTTTCTTGTATTTCGCTCCGACAGATAAAGAAAAACGTAGACTGTGCCAGCTGTTCTTACACCTATTCGTACGATTATTACAAAAAGTAGACAGACTTGGAAACAAAATGAGTTGGTCAGTAATAATTGCTGTTTATGTCGGTTAAGTGTGGTTATGTGGCCATGAACAAATATAAATACTACAGTCGTATTCGCATATCGCCATCGTCGTATAACTCCTTCGGCTTATCTTATGCCAAATGTGGCGTTGATAAGGTGTGGCCTGTGGGAATGAGGTTTAACTGGGCTATACTTATCAAACTCGAGTGTCATATCTTTGTGCTCTGCCAATTCCGGGAAGATTACAAGGCATAAAACTATGAGTATTTTTGTCGTAAACATGCGTATATTTTTCAACGAAGTGAAGAATCTATTGCTGCGAAGACTAATGAATGAGAATAGCTCCGTGAAACAGCAGTTCATTGAACTTTCTTTGTTTAAGGTGAATGAAATGTGTGACGCTGTAATAATTTGAAAAACGTTATGCTAAATAATAATATGTTACAATATAATGCGAAATAATTGCGACAGACTTTAGTTATCAAAAGTTGTAGTTTATTCGACCGATAATGAGCTATAATCTGAGGTTCACGTGGCGTGGCCGTTAGTAAACAAACAGATAGGGCACGTGTTGTCATCGCTATGACGTCAGCACAGAACCCAGTCTTTCCTCGTGGAAGTTCAATTAATTCTTAGTCGCACGTGAATCTTCGGTTTAGAAAAACGTTCAAAGGTTTGACGGAAGGGCAAAACTTCCACCGGGACGACGATTTGGCAAACATCGTAGGTAGATTTTTTCTCTCTCTATTCAGGGCCCTACGTTTACATTTCATACATTGAAAAAAAGAGATAATAGCAAATGTCACATTGACTAACCTTAGCTTTGAATACGATCGCGGAAAGAGAAATCAAATTGTGCTCCGTTTCGACGTTAATAACTTTGTGTATATCCCACGATCACTTTAATGCCTATTTACAGCAACGATAACACATATGTATACATATACCTACTTAGGTTTTCGCTTTGCGAATATAACTTACCAGGAAGTTATGAGAAAAAGTGAACGATTACTAAAAGAAATCTGATATGACGAACACGTATAATTTTAGAAGTTGATGCCATTCACAACTCAGTTCTCAGATCTTAGGAAATAGCTGACTGCTGATATCACGTTAAGGCTACGTAGAACGGCGGCGGGGCGGGCGTGGGAAACTGGCCACGGTTGCGGTTTGTCAATCCAGTCAAACGTAGAAACAGTGGAGGTATTTTTTAAAGTATAAAGACGTGAGGCTCGGGTGCGGCAGTAACGTTCACATTGGTGAGAGGTGAATGGAACGAGCGTTGCTAGGCCGCCAACATTTTTGCTGGCTGCCAACGCGCCCGAACAATGAACCAATGGAGTTACGCGTAACGTCCTGCTGTCACACTCGCTCTATGTCTCATAGCGTATTATAGCTGATGTACTCTAAAGACTGTTCTTTAAACATGTCTGTTGGAAATTAGTTTGGTTTATCTTCGTACTCACAATTATGGTTGCTTTTTCTTTTTTTTTTCCATCAAATATAGTATTTTCGAAGCTGTTACCTCATAAAATATAGTACATGACAAAAAAATCGGGAAAAATATAGTACGTTTTATTTTTATTTTTGAAATGAGTATATTTTTGCTGCTCTATTCCTTAATACTTCAGTTTTTATTCTAAGAAAGCTTTTAATGGCAAAAGTCTCCTTGTCTCTTTTAAGCAAAATATAGTAGTTTCGCCTACTATATTTTTTTAGAAATATAGTATTTGATCCCATAATATAGTCATCATCATCATCATCAGCCTATTAATGTCCCCACTGCTGGGGCACAGGCCTTCCCCATGACAGGAAACTATATAATACAGTAGGGTTGGCAACCCTACTCACAATACGGGTGTTTGGCTGCCCTTGAAATGTACGCGGGCGTGGTTTACGTAAAGTTTCCTCTAATTAGCGGGAAGTTCCGCTAAAATTTAGACATCTTTAGACCTTACCCATGAACCGAGAAAACCGTGTCGACGACTTTTCGAACATAGAACACTAATACCAACACAACATGTCATTGACTCTTCCAAATAAGACTCATTATTCTAAATGTGTTCTGATGATTGGATAAATATCCAACCATACAAATGTATGTACTGTCGTTTCGTAATTCCTCTATGGTGTTTTTATTTAGCGTAAAATTCGTGATATAAATTGACAATGTTCATCGACCATGAACATAGAAGCCTGCGCAGTAGCAATTTTACATACAAAAACATCTACTGCGCAAGTTTATTTGTCTGTTTGTGCTCAAAAAGTTTGCCGCTACCTATAATTTAAGTATGACGTCAGTGAAATGTACCCCAAGCACGAAATTTGACAGATTCGTATCACCAACGTCAGTTTTTATGGAATCTAAGCAGCGACCCTACCGGACGTAAGAACTAACTGGCTATTCCTATAAACTTTGTCTCTAGCTGTTTGTGCTTTGGGGTACTGAACTGCTTAGTATTATATTATTAATTTTTTATACAGTCAGGTAGGCAAATGACTCAACCCCACCTGATGTTAAGTGGTGATAAAGTCCAAACGCGAAGATAGCTGGCACAGCAGTTATAAACTACCACACCAACCAGACTCACCTTGCCGGTCTGCAAAAATGCTTCTTCACGACTCCACATTGTAGGAAGGAGGGAACACGTCCGCGGGCAAAGAATTCCACATACAAATAGTACGACAAAGAATTGAGTCACCAAATTTCTTAGTTCGTGTAGGTATAGTGGCCACAGTAAGTCGGTGGCAAAGTTAGGAAAGAGCGTGTGGTCCTCGGAAAAAAAGGTGATGGAGGGATAAGGGAGAATAACCCCTCAGAACACTCGCCGTGGTATAGGTAGATAATATATTATATTATACGCCTTGCATGCATGTCGCATGCTGATAATAGAGGTAAGCTCAAAGTAGATCCAATCAAGTTATTTGCATTCTCAGAACCGTTTATCTTTGAAACTTTGTTTCTAATCATCTATACCTGCTTTTATATCCTCTTATCGTTCAAGACGCTATAATCGGAGTT